ACTAGCACCTAGAGCAGCAGCCTCAATGCCCGGGTCGGGCGGAACACACAGGTAACAGTCACCCTCATCACTAATAGACACAGCATACATAGCAGCAAGGATAGTGTCATAGTCAAGATCAAAGATGGCAACCCCCGACCTAAGCAGATCACCCCAGCGAGGGATCTCAGTGGAGCCAGGGAACTGTGCACGCCAGGCGTCAGTCAGGCGGCCGAAGCAGCGCGGAGTGGTGTGCGGGCCGCCGCACGTCTCTCCAGTGCGGTCGCCTGTGCGAAGAACGTAGGTGCAAGGACCAGCACCTCCAGACCTCCCACGCCCAGCGTACCACTCACGGAGCTGCTGAGGCGACGGGGTCTCACGGGAGCGCTGTTGCTGCTGGCGCTGGCCACCGCTAGAGCCTCCCCGCTGCCCACCACCGCCCCCGCCACCCCCACCTACACCGCCGCCGCCGCCACCTCCACCCCCACTCCCGCTGCCTCCGCCGCCTCCACCTCCACCGCCGCCACCTAAGCCCCCAGTCCCGCCACCACTCCCACCTCCACCCCCACCCCCTCCTCCTCCACCGCCACTACCGCCGCCCCCGCCGCCCCCTCCACCCCCCTTGCCCCACTTGCCCTTGCTGTTGCGGCGCTTGCCACTAGGAGTAGACGCAGTGCCGACCGACTCGGTGCCAACGAGGTCGACAGTAGCAGCAGAGGAAACAGAGGGCAAAAGAGGGACGGGAGAGCACCCCTCAAAGAAAGGGGCATGGGGGTCACCACGAGAGGCTCCTACAGCGACTATACTCTTCTCAGCTGCAAGGAGGCGCTCCTCGAGGAGGTCAACGGTGAGTGTGGTGGGGCAAAGGGAGAGGAAGTGGTCCCTGACCGAGCAAAGGGAGTCAGGGAGCCGGGTGACGAGGTAGTAGAGAGTGATGTACATAGGGGGGGGGTTCTTGGCGCAGAACTCGGTAGGAAGCGCAGCGCGGTAGCGGGTGTCACTAGTGCGAAGGTGCGTAATGAGGTCAGCGACTGTGGCAAAAGCGGCTAGGTCAGGGAACAGGTACGGCAGCATGAGGCGACTAAGGGCAGCAGTGGCAGGGGAGGAGTAGCGCGCAACAACAGCAGTGTACAGAGTGCTAGCAGTCTTGTACTGACTAAAGTGTGCGCGCTCAGCAGAAGGCAGGTGACTACGGACAGCAAGACGGGCAGCAGCATCGCGCGTGATCCACTGTGAGCGAACAGTACTGGCAGCATCAGCAGCAGGTGCAGCAGAGGCGCCAGAGGTGAGATCAAACAGTGAGATACCGTCCTTGCTATCGCACTGCAGGAAAAGCTGCAAATCATCGATCCAGACCTCAAAGTCGACAGCTCGACCCTCAGCATCGAAGGTAAGCACATTGGGACTAGCCATGACAGCAGCAGTAGCAGGCTAGTAGCAGTAGCGGCAGCGGCAGCAGGCTAGCAGCTCGACTCGGCTAAAGGGCGCGGCTCGGCAGGGCGGCGCGGCTCGGCGGTGCTCTTACCAGGGGCGGGGCCGCAACTGGGCGGCAGGGCAGGGCCGCGGCTCGGCTGTAGGGCAGGGCCGGGGCAGTAGTGACGGCTGCGGCGGCGGCGGCTCGCAACACCAGCGAAGGCAGGCTCGGCGGCGGCGGCAGGGACAGCAGCTGCTGCAGGGCTCCTCGGCGGATGCTGCAAGTGGAGGCCGCAACCGGCGAGAGGAGCAGGGCGGGGCCGCAACGGCGGGTCGACGCGGGGAGCCGGCGACGGCAGCTGCTGCAGGGGCGGCGAAGAGCCGCGAAGGGCCGCAAAGGGAGGCCGCGAAGGCCGCGAAGGTCCGTGAGGGGGCCGCGAAGGGCCACGAAGGGGCCGCGAAGGGCGGCGATGGGGCCGCGAAGGGCCGCGAGAGGGGCCGCGAAGGACCGCGAAGGGGCCGCGAAGGGCCGCGAGAGGGGCCGCGAAGGGCCGCGAAGAGGCCGCGAAGGGCCGCGAAGGGCGCAAAGGGGGCCGCGAAGGGCGCAAAGGGGGCCGCGAAGGGCCGTGATAGGGCGCGACGGGGCGTTTAAGGGCAGGCGCGAAGCGCGCTTCGGGCAGGGTAGGAAAAAAAATATTCGAAGTGGTGGGCCCAAGGGAAAACAGTCTCACTAGGGAACCCGCTCTATACCATGTGAGAATACTAGCGAGGAATGAATTGACTAGAAATGAGTTGGGTACAAATAGGGAAACCTAGAAATGTAGTACCCCCTATTGTCTAACCCACTACAGCCTAAACAAGGGTATAACATAAGTTTGACATTTTTACCTCTATTTCTTCACACAGTTCCCTAGTACAACCTATTCCCTACCCATAGGAACTGGTTTGAGATCGTTCGCACAACTACGCAGCTCCTGACGCTTGTTCGTGCGTTTGCTGGCCTGAATCTGTGCAAGGATAGGCATGTGCGCAACATGTCAGTTTGCCAACGTTTGGATGCCTTTTTACCTCTATTTATTCACATAGTTCCCTAGTACATCCTATTCTCTACCCATAGGAACTGGTTTGAGATCGTTCGCACAACTACGCAGCTCCAGACGCTTGTTCGTGCGTTTGCTGGTGTGAATCTGTGCAAGGATAGGCATGTGCGCAACATGGCAGTTCGCCAACGTTTGGATGCCTTTTTTACCTCTATTTCTTCACACAGTTCCCTAGTACAGCCTATTCCCTTGCCATAGGATCTGGCTTGAGATCGTTCGCACAACTACGCAGCTCCTGACGCTTGTTCGTGCGTTTGCTGGCCTGAATCTGTGCAAGGATAGGCCCGTACGCAACATGTCAGCTCGCCAACGTTTGGATGCCTTGTTTACCTCTATTTCTTCACACAGTTCCCTTGTACAACCTTTTCACTACCCATAGGAACTGGTTTGAGATTCTTCGCACAACTACGCAGCTCCTGGCGCTTGTTCGTGCGTTTGCTGGCCTGAATATGTGCAAGGATAGGCCCGTACGCAACATGTCAGCTCGCCAACATTTGGATGCCTTTTTTACCTCTATTTCTTCACACAGTTCCCTAGTACAACCTATTCCCTACCCATATGAACTGGTTTGAGATCGTTTGCACAACTACGCAGCTCCTGACGCTTGTTCGTGCGTTTGCTGGCCTGAATCTGTGCAAGGATAGGCCTGTGCGCAACATGTCAGCTCGCCAACGTTTGGATGCCTTTTTTACCTCTATTTCTTCACACAGTTCCCTAGTACAGCCTATTCCCTTGCCATAGGGACTGGTTCGAGCTCGTTCGCACAACTACGCAGCACGTGGCGCATGTTTGTGCGTTCCATTGTGAATCTGTGCAAGGATAGGCCTGTACGCAACATGGCAGCTCGCCAACGTTTGGATGCTTCAAAATCTAGTACCATTCGCAGCACCAGATAGGAAGATATGTTGTTTCGAACGAGCGATCATGTGGAATGGTGCAAGGATAGGACAGAGCGACTCGTGGCGTCGTTTCAATGACTTATTATATTGTTTAGCAAGATTTCTTTTTACCGTCAAGCGTGTCGATATATTTGAAGCTTGCCCTCACGATTTGGTACCATTTCAATAACGTGGTAGCAATATAGGATGTTTTTTAGAGTCGAGCAAGGAACATTGCGCAAGCCGAGGAGCACATTTTATTGAGCAAAGATGGGGGAATTGTTTTGCAAGGGTAGGCACGGATGATACGAGCTGCCGTATTATGCGTGCTTACGCTTATATTTTTTTAAGCACGGTTTCATATTTCTTGTTAGATGGATTTGTTTTTGCATTTTAATTCTGTACCTTAACCTGTAAAGACACATGACTAAATCCATACCAATTTTGGTCCGAGATTGACCCTCGCATGTAGCCACCCAAATCACCAATTGTTGTCACGCGCCAAAATTCTGTCGCGAGCTGGTTGGGTGAGGAAACGCGACGCCCAAAGCTCTCAACTTGCCACGTCAGTCAAGTCAAATTGAGGACGTTGCACCAAACTTTGACTGTGCCGAGTCTAAATCTGCTTGGCCGAGTCGCAATTCGAGTCGCGAAGTTGATTGGGGACACGAAAACAACATTCAATCAGTCGAGCATCACATTTTCGCGAGAGGTTGGGCGAAAAAAATGCACAACCCACGCAATCCAACTTTCAAAGCCTGACTCCCCCCCGATTTCAAAACGAGGGGTTTTTGTGATGCATCTCGCAGACGAAGCCAAAATCGCCGATGGTTCCGGTGATTCGCTGGCCAGAGGCGGTGCGGCGGGTGAGACAGACTCCTGCACTGATTGGTTGTCAACCAGCCGTCCAATTAAAGGCGGCGCGCGCCCAGATCCGTGGGCGTTTACTAAGGTAGCACTACTACTAGTAGTACTAGCAATAGTATTGGTTCCTTAGTAGCCTCACAGCCCGACTTTGGGGATTTTCTAGGTGATTTCCCTGTCGGGAGAGGCAACACCGCTTCCACTTCCCTGTGGAGGCGACGCCGTCGCGTACGTCCTGGCTTTGATCTGGTGTTGGTAAAGCTGGTGTGAGAGAGGCGCGACGAGCAAAGCTGGCTCTGACTCATGGGTCACGCCTCTCCCCTCCCCTCTCCCCCATTCCCGGCCGCGAAGCCACTGAGTAGTGGACCACTTGGTTCTCAACCCCAGCCGTGCAGTTCAATACGACGCGGGACCAGATCCATGGGCGTTTGCTAAGGTAGTGCTGGTAATAAGGACTTCGAAGCCCGACCTGAGCTGTCTTTAGGTGACTTTTGGCGTCTTTAGGTGTCTCCTCTCCTCAGCCTCTCCCACAATTCCCCTCCACCCCCAACACCAACATTTCCTCCCCTCCTCCCTTCAACTCCCCCCAATTTCCTCCCCCATTCCCCGCATTCCCCCCCCCTATTTCCCCCCTCCCTCCTCGCCACGAAGGATGTGGTGCATTCATCTCCCCCCCTCCTTCCTCCTCCCCGCATCACTCCTCAAGACACATACCCAACCTTCCCCCGAGTGCGCGGATACTCGGCGACGCGCAAGATCCCCAGATATGATTCGTTATCGATTCACAGAAGTCCCATATGTGAATCTTTCTCGATCTACAGAAGTACCTACAGAAATGAGCTTCTCCCGGTCAAATATCCATGCCGTTCCTTTCTCTTCCTTTCCCCCTGCCCACCTCCCCCTCCTTCCCCCTGCCCCCCTTCCCCTAATACACAGTGGACACCCCGCGTTTCCCCGTGCCATGTAGCGGGATTCCCTATAGAGGAGCTCGATGCGCATCTGAACTTCCGCCGTGGGTGGACCCTCAGGTTCGTGGAGAACGTGGAAGATAAGACGCAAGTACTACCGTTGATGCGAGGCGCCATGGATCCTACAATGCACACAAGGTGGGTGGTAGTGATACTAGTGGTAGTGATAGTAGTGGTAGTGATAGTAGTGGTAGTGATACTAGTGGTAGTGTTAGTAGTGGTAGTGATAGTAGTGGTAGTGATAGTAGTGGTAGTGCTAGCAGTGGTAGTGCTAGCAGTGGTAGTGCTAGCAGTGGTAGTGCTAGCAGTGGTAGTGCTAGCAGTGGTAGTGCTAGCAGTGGTAGTGCTAGCAGTGGTAGTGCTAGCAGTGGTAGTGCTAGCAGTGGTAGTGCTAGTACTACACCTAGTAGGTGTAGGTGTAAGTTGCATTGTCTGTGGACCAAATGTTGGCTTGATCCAAATGTGATCGCACCTGACTTTTGAGGAGCCTCAAAAATTGCACCTGTTTGCCTTCTTATACCCTCGGGATACTCCAATCTGCCCTCAAACTTTCCCGATCCCACAGGAAGCGGAGGGTGCTGATCGATCTCGGAGCCAAGACGTTTGACACGAGTGTCACCTGGATTTCACCTCGATTTTACCGAGATTCACAAAAGCCACACGAATTCACGAATCTGCCATGTGTTTGCTGAATTCCCCAAACTGCCCCCAAATTCCACCTTGCAGGAAACGGAGGGTTTTTATCGACCTCGGAGCCAAAACGTTTGACACAAGTGTCACCTGGTTTCTCCAAATGTACCCCCTCGATTTCACCGAGATTCACGTGGTGGAAGCAAGAGCGGGCTTGTTCCGAAAGCCACCTGCATCGAGGCCCAAGGTATGTCCAAATTATAAACACATGTGAACAGCACACGAGGACTGGAAAGAGGGTAGGCTAGATGGTAGCTGGGGGCCAGCTAATGTGGCCTGTATAGGTTTTTCCAGAGTTATCTGTTCAATTCACGTTCTTTGTGAAAATCGCCTTTCAACCCCTTGACACCTTTCTTTACCACTCTGGAATACTTCAGGTACTGGCAAATGGTTTGGGCCTGAACTCTCGCCTGCGTCCGAGACACGAAGGGCCAGCAGACTTCCCACAATGGTTGCTGCGACGCGTTCACCCCTACAGCTTCTATGTCTCTTCCCAAGACAACCAAGAAAGGGTACGAAGATGACAAACAAACATACAATGCTTGCTGGAACGGGTTCACCCCTTCAACTTCTATGTCTCTTCCCAAGACAATCAAGAGAAGGTGAATAGATGAAGGAATGGAGAAATAGGAGCACCAATAGTAGCCGTACAGAACCCTTTCTGTGTCGTCCTCTTGGCGAATGTGTTACCCCCCATTACTATCTTCCTGCTCTTTTCCCATTTTTCTGCTCGGTTCACCCCTCTTTCTGCTCTTTTCCCCCTTTTTTACTCGGTTCACCCCTCTTTCTGCTCTCTTCCCCCATTTCCCGCTCGGTTCACCCCTTCTTTCTTCTCTCTTCCCCCTGTTCTGCTCACATCACCCCTCTTTCTGCTCTCTTCCCCCATTTCCCGCTCGGTTCACCCCTTCTTTCTTCTCTCTTCCCCCTGTTCTGCTCACATCACCCCTCTTTCTGCTCTCTTCTCCCACCCGTTTCTGGATGAGGGCAGTGGATGAGGGTACTAGGTGTCGGTTCTATGTTCAGTCATGAGGACATTTGGCACGGATGCAGCTGTTCCCTTCTCCCCTGTCCCTGCTTTTTTCCCTCCCCCCTCTCTGCTCCCTCCTAGTACGCCGTGAATGGGCCAGGTGGGAGCTTGTCCGGACAAGCTGCAACTGAGGAAGGGCCACTCAGTGACTCCCTTTACCTACTTACCTCCCGTCTCACTCGTAGAAAGTGATTTTTTGAGACGTCTCAAAGAATCACTTTCTACACGTAGCTACAACTGAGGAAGGGCCACTCAGTGACTCTCTTTACGTACTTTCCTCCCGTCTTACTTATCCCCATCTCCGCATCTTTCTTCTGAAGCGCAGTGAATGTGACCACGTGGTATCTGGACGAGCTACAGCTGAAGCAGGACACTTGTATTGCTTGTATCCACCCTTCTCACCGTGTCGTCCTCTCTCTGCTCTTCTCACCCCTTCTTACCCCCTCTCCTTCTTCTCCTTCCCAGAACATGGTGAACGTGACGAGGTGGTTTCTGGAAGACCTGCAGTTGAAGGAAGAAGACTCGGTCGTTGTGAAGATGGACATCGAGGGGCACGAGTGGGCGATTCTGCAGCACTGGCTCTCTAATCCCCGCATGGCAGCATTGTTGACGAGCTATTTGTGGAAGTGCATTATCATCATCCGAGCATGACGGCGTTTACTTGGAGACCGGATAAATTCAACCACACGCGCGAGGATACGGCGAGGTTGCTGATTGATTTGAGAAAGGCCGGTTTTTACGTGCATCCCTGGCCGTAGTGGCCAGGATCTATGTGCATCCGTGTCCATAGACAGTCGCGCAATACGTGCAACCCTGGCCGTAAATGGCCGGGTTATACGTGCATCTTTGGCCGTAGATGTTGCAGTGCATAGTGTGTAGTGTGGTAGTAGTTATGGGGATGCTTGTTGGAAAGAAAATGGAAGATGCATGATATTGATTGTTTATTTCTTGAGCTTAGTAAACTGTAGGGCACTCTAGCCATGATTATTAAGGAAGTGTTCCGGTATCACCTATGCTGTGTACATCCAAGGGTAATATATCCAAAACTGTTTGCCTGGTAGGCATATCCAAGGGCTACCTTCCATTCCAAGGGTAATATATTTTGTAGTGCATAACTGACCCAGCTTTACAGTTCCCTGATTTTCGATGCGGTCCACGTTTCAGGTAGAGACTTTAACAAAATGTTTTCAAATATACTGGTGTTTTGTTTGTAATGTTCCCGCTATTAATAAGGCTGTTGGGCGTCACTCACAGCTAAAACATGTTCCAGCACCAGGACATGCCTCTGACCCTAGAGAAAACTTTTGCTCTAAATGGGTGACACATGCTTGATCTCCATGTTGAGCCGAAGTAAATTCGAAGTCGTACTGAGACCCCAGCAGTCTCTTCATATTCCGACGTTAGTAGGGCTTCTGTAGTCCCTAAACTTCAGGGTATTTACAGACGTTAAAAGCGAGAAGGTTCTCCAGAACAATGCGACAAGCAGCATCGTCCCCAACCGGGGTTTGCTTCTTTTGTCCTGCAGAGAGATGCGTCGCTGCCAAAGCTGTGTTTAGGTTCAGTTGAGATTCAAAACGAAGAAGCAATCCTACCTTATCTCTACACTCCTCGCGGCAGAGCGTCCCCAGCGAGCCGCCCCCAGCATGGCCAGCTGCTGTGCATGTACACATAGCCCATTCCATCGCCGTTTTCTGCGGAGCCCCCACCCAAAACAGGTTCCCGGACCGCCTGAAAGTTACTGTTCGAGCCCATGTTTCAAGGCCAGGTTGGTCCTACCATCGACTTGGGGCTGCGCAGCGTGGAGGACGCAGTTGTCTCAGGTCAGGTGGTCAGGGACGTGATTCGACTAAAAAAATCGACCAGCGGGACGTGGGGCTGCGCAGTGCGCCCGCTGTTGTCTCATGACGCCGATCAGCATTTAGGCGGCGGATGGGAGGGAATGCATAGATGGCTCGCGGAGAACGCCACATAGGCATGGGCAAGGCCACGTAGGCGCGGGCAAGGCCACGTAGGCGTGCGCAAGGCCACGTAGGCGCCCGGAAGGCCATGTAGGCGCGCGGAATGTCGACTGGACTCGGAAGGCAGAGGTGCGCATTGGTGGCGGAAGGCAGGTCCACCCGCCGCAGCCATAGCTTCATCATTATGCCTCGACTACTACTACTTAAACCCCCCATTCTAGCGTCAACCCCAAATCATCAATCTCATAGGATTCCGGCACATCCCGAGCTCCACGCATCTGCCGGACTGCTGCGGGGGTGTGTTCTCTGCCCGGCCCGCTAGGACCTCCCCACGAAGTCTCACGTGACGTGAGAGCCACCCGGCGGCCCGTCGTTCCCGCGGGAACTAGTAGTCGCGCGGCGCATTCGTCTCGTCTCGCGATGGCTCGGACCATCGGGATCGCCGCCGCTCGGCCCGTCGTGACGCGGACTCGCCGCTTCGTGTCCCTCGTGGCTTGCGCCACGGCGCTCCTGCTCCTCGCAACCGCCGCCCTGCCGACGCTCGCGGATTCCACTCAAATGGCGGTTGCGAGCCGTCGGGTTCTGAAAGCCGCTGCGCCCGCTCCGGCACCCGCGCCCGTGTCGACACCCGCGCCGGCCGATGCACCCGCGGTCGGCGCGCCACCGCCGCCGCCGGCGCCGCTCGATCAGTACTACGACGACGACTACATGCAGGACTATACCCTGGAGCAAGTCATCGCAGACGCGGCGCCTCAGGCGGCGCCGGGCGCGCCGCCATCCCCGCCGCGATCCCTGCGGTTGAAGGTTCCGTACACGATCAAGTTCGCGGACGTTTCCAAGTCGTACTACATTCTTAACTACCTCGCGAACTCGGTGTGCAAGTTTCCTTCGGGACCGACGATTTTCCTTCCGACGAATCAGGCGTGGAGCGACGCGTTCGAGGGGTACAAGAAGACCCGCAACAGCGGCGCGCTGTACGAGGCGCTCGACGCGGTCGCGAGCGATCGGATCAAGAAGGTGTTCGTTTGGGCGGGGCGTAAGATCAACAGCACGGAGCTCTCGGCTCTGGCTGACAAGGCGAAATCGTGCTAAACGCTCACGTCGCATCCGATCGGGGAGGCCGCGCGGACCGCGCTCTACAACCTGATGTCGTTCCACATGGCGGCTTCTCGGGTTACGATCTTGAATCTGGATAGCCAGGTACGCTTGCGAAACCACCATCAGTACGTTTGGTGAGAAGAAAATACGGAACAGTGTGTATATATGTTAGTGTGTGTGTGTGTCTGATGGTGTGTTGTGTGTCTCCCGCTCAATTCCCATATGCGCTCGTTGTCGTTCATCTGCTTCTTAAACCTTGTGATGATGCTGCTGCTTTAAGTGATAGCTCATAATATAGTGACTCCGCTGCTGTCGCTACTGCTGCTACTTGTTTAGAAGCATGGTACCGACACTTAGTGCCCAGCGCGCTTATTTTCTTCTGTTGCTCACACCCCGAACCTCAACTTACAGTGTACTGCCGCTGGCACTTCTTTCAAGACCGCGTTCAACAGCAACAATTTGAACTTCAAGTGCAATAGTACTGACGCTGGTTTCATTTCCGCCTCGGACCCCCTTGCATCCGGCGCGGCTGCTGGTACTTCGTCTGCTGTGGCAATGATCGACGAGCCGCAGAAGGATTATTTCTATGTCAACGCGGTTGTGTTCCCCACCAACACCTCCTCCCTGCCTGGTACGCGTTTTAATATTTAATAGAGACTTGCATTATGTGAAGAGCGGTATCATCTATTTCCCGCATATTTAACAATGGGATTACCCTTCCCTGCATCAAGCACCATGGCATGATGGCACACATTCGATCATGCATGCAGCCACTCATCTACATGCCCTTAGGTTCTTATTCTTTTTTTCTCTCCTTTCTCCCCTTTCTCCTCCCCCGCACTCCCATTCCTCCTCCCCCTCACTCCAGTTCCTCCTCCCCCTCACTCCAATTCCTCCTCCCCCTCACTCCCATTCCTCCCCCTCACTCTCATTCCTCCTCCCCCTCACTCCCATTCCTCCTCCCCCTCACTCCCATTCCTCCTCCCCCTCACTCCAATTCCTCCTCCCCCTCACTCCAATTCCTCCTCCCCCTCACTCCCATTCCTCCTCCTCACTCCCATTCCTCCTCTCCTCACTCCCATTCCTCTTCCCCCTCACTCCCATTCCTCCTCCCCCTCGCTCCCATTCCTCCTCCCCCTCGCTCCCATTTCCCCCCTCGCTCCCATCTCTTCACCCCCTCTCTCCCATTTCTCCTCCCCCTCGCTCCCATCTCTTCACCCCCTCGCTCCCATTCCTCACCTCCCCCTTTTCATTTTCGGATGCCAGGGGCCATTGTCACTGTCTCGCATCTCTTCACAGCATTGCATAGCCACACATTGACTCACCACCTTTCCACTACTCGTTCCTCTCCTTGTTTCGATTTCTCTTCCCTCTCCCTCTCGAATGACAGGTGCCGTTGCCACTGTCTCGCGTCTCCTCACTGCTCTGCTGGTCTTCGCCTCTGCTCTTGCCTCTGCTCTCTAGTCCAGACTGCATGAGTCTAAAAACCCATCTCCCTTTCATTCCAATCCCATCTCTCTCCCCCTCACTCTCATTCCCCTTTCTCTCGGATGCCAGGGGCCGTCGTGACTGTCTCGCGTCTCTTCACTGCTCTGCTGGTCTTCGCCTCTGCTCTTGCCTGTGCCCTCTAGACACCAAGAGACTAGATACCCTCTCGCTCCACTGCCCACGAGTGTAGACGCCATGGGAAGAGGAAACACGCATGTGCTGTACGATCCATTTTGGATCCATTGTGGATGACGGCCGGATCCTAGCCGTTGATTGTGCAATGTGCATTTCTTCCCTGAGATCTGGAAGGCTATGGCCTCTGTTTAGCAGTAGGGAGATGCGTTTTTGGGCAATGTAAGGAGAGGAGAGTGTATGGTGGGGTAGGATTTATTAATGAAGAGGAAATGCACTTCAGAGGAAATGCACCTTAACGCCATTTTCAGAGTTTGCTTCCTGGTCTTGACCCTGCAAGTTTGCTTTGTTGAAACCTGAACCATGCTAACCCATTGTGCATACAGAAGTTTCTTCAAACACTGCTCCAATGGCAGCACTGCACTGCAACAGTTATTTCTATGTACTTACGCGTGTAAGATCATTCATGATATAATAATTTAATAACACATAATGAACAAGGCGTTGAGAAACAAGATAACAACCTAGCTAAGGAACTGAGTCACAGGTACAGTCCTAATGGCAATAACCACCCGCACAATATGCGACTGATTACCGCGCCAGACCAGGCTTCCAAACTTAAACACCCTGCTCGGCTTCCCCTTGGGCCGAAACCGCACCGAAAACTTCTGCGTCTGCCCGGGATTGATGGTGAAGCTCATCGGATTAACGTCTATTTTCACTCCACTGGGCCCCCTTATTATCGCCCTATATGTCTCTGGCACTTCGTCTACGTTCTTCACCACACGCCTTACCACCACCGGTCTCGAGAGCCGCGAGATGGAGATCGACGGACGGTTGAGATTGAAAGCTTTCACCGGCCGGATTCCCCCGACACCCGGGAAATTCATCATGGTGTAAAAGTAGCTGCGCCCCGCGAGAAAATTTACGTAATCCTTGTAACCCACGTGGAATGTAAGACCGGGGTTCAATACCCGCATGGGGTCAACATGACCCGACCCCATATCCCACGGGGTAGCTTCGACAGTTTTCCCAGTGCTCTTCTTGCCGGAGCTGGTGGTTCGGCGGATGGGGTTGCCGAGCTTGTTTGTGGAGTAGGCTGTTGTCATGATTGCAGATGCGATTTGGGCGGGCGACCAGTTTAGATTTTTCTGGATGATCAGGGCGGCAATGCCGGCCAGATGCGGTGTGGCCATAGAGGTTCCGGAAAGATAGCCGAATTTGGGCAGCTCGGAGGAAGAGGAGGGGGTGGAGGGGGTGGTGGAGGAGGAAGAAGAGGACTGAGTTGACTGAGTTGACTCAGAGGACTGGGTTGAAAAGGAGGGTTTGAGGCCTCTGGAAGCAGCCCAGAGCTGGAACCCTGGGCCGATGATGTCGGGCTTTAAGATGTCGTTTGAGGCGAGGAGGCGGGGGGTGACGGGGAAGGCGGGGTTGAGAGGCGGTCCCGTGGAGGAGAAGTAGGCCACTGATGGGGCTGAGTCTGAGAACGTGGTGAAGGGCGGGGAGAGGGAGGCCGCGGGGCTGGGAGGGGCAGCAAGCGGGAAAGGAGGGGAAGGGCACACAGGGAGAGGAGAATGAAGGGGTTGAGAGGCGGGCCGGTGGAGGAGAAGTAGGCGACTGATGGGGCTTCGTTTGAGAACGTGGTGAAGGGCGGGGATAGGGATGCCGTGGGGCTGGGAGGGGAGGGGAGGCAAAGGGTGGAAGAAGATAAGAGAAAGATCAAGTGAGATCAAGGGAAGACCGAGGAAGTAGGGGGTGAAAGGGGCGGGTAACCTTGCAGTATCCACTTTTTTAATTCGACTTAGAAAGTGGAACCATATCAGACTGCATTGCATTCACTTCCAATACTTGATGCCGAGGGACACAGGTGATTTAAGGGGGGACGCAGGTATCATACATTTTTTGTCTTCTTCCTTTATTCTTTCATCAAAGTGGGATGCACAACAAGCACACTAGGTGGCATGGGCACTTACTTGGTCGCCTTGCTGAGGTACTGCCGAACAGTCTCGGAATCCTCCGCATCCACCTTTGAGGTCAACCAAGAGGCAGACGTACCAACAGTGCGTGCTGTACAGACGTTTCAAAAGACACTGTTTCTCAAATACGCAAGCACTTACTTGGCCGCCTTGCTGAGGTACTGCCGAACAGTCTCTGACTGCTCCTTGCCCAAGTTGACTCACTAGTAACGGTAATGCTCAGAACCACCTTTCAAGTTTCAAATACTGAAAAAAAAGACACGCACTTACTTGGCCGCCTTGCTGAGGTACTGCCGAACAGTCTCTGACTGCTCCTTGCCCAAGTTGAGCCACTAGTAACGGTAATGGTAACAGACTCAAAACCATCTTTCAAGTTCCAAATACTCAAAAAGGCACACTCACTTGGCCACCTTGCTGAGGTACTGCCGAACAGTCTCAAGGTGACATTTCAGTCGACTCAAAAGTTAACTCTGTACACACTTCTCGACTTACTTGGCCGCGTTGCTCAGGTACTGCCGAACAGTCTCAGAATCCTCCGCGTTCAAGTGAATAGCGGGGACGTCTGTATAGGGTACGCGGGAGGGCGCCGGGGAGGAAGCAGAGGCGGAGAGCAGCAGCACGGCAGCGGCACCGAGAGCAGCAGAGGCGGTGTCTGTCATTGCCTCCCTCACGTCCCTGCTTTTCAGGTTGCACACTAGCATTCTCCCGGAGAGCTTGGACTTGTCGAGGCTTGAGGCGAAGCACTCCCGGGCCTGAAGTGGGGGGAGGAAAGGGGAGGGAGGGAGGGGGTTAGCACTGAGGGAAAGGGGATGCGGGAGGGCGCCGGGGACGAAGCGGAGGCGGAGAGCAGCGAGTTGACTTTTGAGTCGACTCAAAAGTCAACTCGAAGTGGGGGGAGGAAGGGGGAGGCAGGGAGGTGGTTAGCACTGAGGGAAAGGGGATGCGGGAGGGCGCCGGGGACGAAGCGGAGGCGGAGAGCAGCAGCACGGCAGCGGCACCGAGAGCAGCAGAGGCGGTGTGTGTCATTGCCTCCCTCACGTCCCTCGTCTGCAAATCGCACACCAGCATACGGCCGGATAGCTTGCACGTATCCAGGCTTGAGGCGAAGCATTCTCGGGCCTGGGATGGGGGGAGGAGGAGGGAGGGGGAAGAGGGGTTAGCACTGGGGGAGTGAAGCAGCAGCAGCAGCAGCAGCAGCAGCAGCAGCAGCAGCAGCAGCAGCAGCAGCAGCAGCAGCAGCAGCAGCAGCAGCAGCAGCAGCAGCAGCAGCAGCAGCAGCAGCAGCAGCAGCAGCAGCAGCAGCAGCAGCAGCAGCAGCAGCAGCAGCAGCAGCAGCAGCGCCGAGAGCAGAGGCGGTGTCTGTCACTGCGTCCTTCACACCCCTCGCTCTCAGGTTGCACACGAGCATTCGACCGGAGAGCTTGGACGAGAAGCACTCCCGCGCCTGGGGTGGGGCAGTTGGGGGGGGAAGGGAGAATGAGAGAGAGGGAGTGGAGTAAGAGGGAGTGGAGTAAGAGGAGGGGGTAAGCGGAGGGGAGAACGAAAGGCGAGGTCCGCAGGACTCCCTGTGCTGCCAAAGCCGAGCCCCCATGAGCTGCAGTCTGTTCTCCCACCTGGCACCCACCACCAGCGGTGCCAGCACCCACATTTCTCTCTCTCCCACCACGCACCAGGCTGAGATTACTTTTGAGTCGACTCAAAAGTCACATTTCTCTCTCTCCCAGCAGCACCAGGCTGAGAGTCCCCAGTGGGTGCACTGCAGCAGAGGAGAGCACGAGGGGGATGTTTATTGCGTTGCCAGCGCTGCCAAAGCCATTCAAGGTACAACCCAACACGCACCTACCTACCTCGATCAAGGAACCCAGCACGCACCAGGCTGAGAGTCCCCAGGGGGTGCACAGCAGCAGAGGAGAGCACGAGAGGCAGGTCCCGCGCGTTGCCTGCACTGCCAACACCAATCAAGTTACAACCCAATACCCGCCTGCCTACCTACCTCGACCAAATACCCCAGCACGCACCAGGCTGAGCGTTCCCAGGGGATGCACTGCAGCAGAAGAGAGCACGAGGGGGAGGTTCATCGCGTTGCCTGCACTGCCAAAGCACTTGCCCGTGAGTCCCGTGAGTTGCACTCACCTGGTTCTGTTCCACCATACCTAACCTGTGAATCCCTTCTCACCACGCACCAGGCTGAGGGTCCCCAGGGGATGCACAGCAGCGGACGAGAGCACGAGGGGGAGATTGATCGCGTTGCCTGCGCTGCCAAAGCCCATGCCTGTGAGCTGCACTCCGTTGCCCAGGGTTAGGTTCGCCTGGTACTCACGCCCGATGGTGCTGGTGGGGGGAAAGTGGAAAGGGTGGGAAGTGCAGGGAAGTAGGGAAGGAAAAGAGTGGGCGACTGTTGCAAGCCCTGCCCTGTGAGCTGCACTCCGTTGCCCAGGGTGATGTTGGCTTGATACTCACGGCCGATGGTGCTGGTGGAGGGAGGGAGGGACAAGGGGGGCGTGGCAAAACAATATTAAAGCCCATCCCCGTGAGGTGCACTCCGTTGCCCAGGGGGGTGAGGTTGGCCTGGTACTCACGTCCGACGGTGCTGTTGGGGGGGCATGGGGGGTGTGGGGGAGCAGGGAGCAACATGTGGGTGGGGGAGGGGGACGGGACATGAAGGAGCGCATGAGAGGCAAGCCCATCCCCGAGCTGCACTCCGTTGCCCAGGGGGGTGAGGTTGGCCTGGTACTCACGTCCGACGGTGCTGGTGGGGGGGAGCGTGGGGAAGGGGGTAAAGAAAGCAAGAGGGGGAATGGATGCAGGCCCAGCGCCGTGAGGTGCGCTCCGTTGCCCAGGGGGGTGAGGTTGGCCTGGTACTCACGTCCGATGGTGCTGTTGGGGGTTCTGGGGGCCATGGGGGGCATGGGGGGCATGGGGGGCATGGGGGGCATGGGGGGCATGGGGGAGGGGGATGAGTTGTTCAAGGGAGGAAAGGATAGAAACATTCAGCATTGGTCCAAGTCAAGCCAAGTCATGCCAAGTCAACCCAAGTCAAGCCAAGTCAACCCAAGGCAAAAAGAGTCTTACCTAGCCCCCACAGTGAGGTAGAAGGGCGCCGTGTTGCTGAGAGTGCCGAGCATCTGCCCCTTGGAAGGGGCGCCGCTGTTGCCCGCTGCAAAGGCTATGAACACCCAAGTCAAGACAACCCCAGTCAACTCGAGTCAACGCAAGTCAACCCGGGTCTTACCTAGCCCCCACAGTGAGGTAGAATGGCGCCGTGTTGCTGAGAGTGCCGAGCATCTGCCCCTTGGAAGGGGCGCCGCTGTTGCCCGCTGCAAAGGCTATGAACACCCAAGTCAAGACAACCCCAGTCAACTCGAGTCAACGCAAGTCAACCCGGGTCTTACCTAGCCCCCACAGTGAGGTAGAATGGCGCCGTGTTGCTGAGAGTGCCGAGCATCTGCCCCTTGGAAGGGGCGCCGCTGTTGCCCGCTGCAAACGCTATGAACACGCCCGCCTGGAGAGGGGCCAGAGAATGGAGGGTGGTGGTGGGAGAGAGAGGGTGTAAGCAGTGCAGCAGCAGCAGCAGACTTTTGAGTCGACTCAAAAGTCACACCCCCGCCTGGAGAGGGGCCAGGGGTGGTGGTGGGAGAGAGAGGGTGTAAGCAGTGCAGCAGCAGCAGCAGCAGCAGCAGCAGCAGCAGCAGCAGCAGCAGCAGCAGCAGCAGCAGCAGCAGCAGCAGCAGCAGCAGCAGCAGCAGCAGCAGCAGCAGCAGCAGCAGCAGCAGCAGCAGCAGCAGCAGTAGCAGTAGAGTAAATGCGGTAAACACCAGCAGGTGCCTCCCAACCAGCCTCCCATCCACCCACCCTCCCTCCACACCCACGCACCTTGAGCGCTTGCAGGTACGGCAGGTCGTTGAAATACCGCGAGATGGCGCCGCCAAACCCAAGTCAACCCAAGTCAAACCAGGTCAACGCAAGTCAACGCAAGTCAACCCTCCACACCCACACACCTTGAGCGCTTGCAGGTACGGCAGGTCGCTGAAATACCGCGAGATGGCGCCGCCAAACGAGCACGAGAGCACATCCACACCGTCGGATACGGCCGCATCAACGGCTGCGCGGATGTCCGACTGAAACGCCCCCGCCTCCCCACCTGGCGTGACCCAGAGCGCTTTGTATGTGGCTAGGCGCGCGCGGGGTGCCACTCCCGAGATGGTGCCTAGCGTTCTGGTGGGGGAGAGGGTCAGAGGCACGTTGGCGTTGCCTGCTGCTGCGCTGTGTGTGGGGGAGGGGAGGAGACGGAGAGAGGGAAAAAACATGAGAAGAGAGCTCGGAATGTACCGCCCTCACCTCCACTATCTCATCCACACCCCCCAGCCCCCTCGTCCCCCCTCTCCCCCGGGGTGACCCAGAGCGCCTTGTAGGTGGCTAGGCGCGCACGGGGCGCCACTCCTGAGATAGACCCTAGCGTTCGCGTGGGGGAGAGGGTCAGAGGGACGTTGACGTTGCCTGCTGCTGCGCTGTGGGTTCAGAGCGCGGGAGGGGGAAGAGGGAGAAAGAGCAGAGGGAGAATGAGAATGAGAGGGAGAGGGATGCGGCCGCATCAACGGCTGCGCGGATGTCTGACTGAAACGCCCCCGCCTCCCCGCCGGGGGTGACCCAGAGGGCCTTGTAGGTGGCGAGGCGGGCACGGGGAGCAACACCAGAGATGGCGCCGAGGGCTCTGGATGAAGAGAGGGTGAGAGGCACGTTGGCGTTGCCTGCTGCTGCGCTGTGGGTGGGGGTGTTGAAGGTGGTTGGCTAACCACAACCTAGAACGACCTAACGCGATCTACATCGACCTAAGAAGAAATCGGTTTGACGAGCTGTGACTAAGGGTAAGCGAGGACCTAAGAAGAAGAGGAGCAGGGAGAGGGAGAGGGAGCAGGAGGGGGGAGAGGGAGAGGGGGAGAAACTATGAGTAGAGAGCAAGGAGGGTGGGGGTCGGAGGTGGAGACTGCACGGGGAAAAAAAATCCTCCTCCTTGTTCACCCCCGCCGCTGACTTGCGCGTGCCTGCACCCCACACCCACCCACCCACGCGGCCACCCACGTGCTGTGCCCGCCTCCGTCAGGCGGGGAGAGAAAGTCCTTTTCCTTGCTCATCCCCGCCGACGATTGCGCACGCCCGTAGCAAAGCAACGCCTATACGGCCCGCATCCCTCGCTCCCACTGACCCCACGCACCCGGCACACCACGTGCCGTGGCCGTCCCCATCCCGCGGGGAGAGGAAGTCCTTTTCCTTGTTCACTCCCGTCGACGACTTGCGCACTCCCGCACCCACCCACACACACTGACCCCACACCTTCTAACCCACGCACTCGTCATTGCCCCACGAACCCACTAACCCGCACCCCACCCACCCACGCACCCACGCACCTAGCACACCACGTGCCGTGCCCGTCTCCGTCGCGCGGCGACATAAAGTCCTTCTCCTTGTTCACCCCCGCCGACGACTTGCGCACGCCCGCCGCGAAGAACCGCGCGCCGATGAGCTTGCGCGAGCAGAGCGACTGGGGGAAGTCCCGCGTCGCCTGGCATTTTCCCCGCCACCTGCGGGGTACGGGCCCGTACGGATTGGCCGGCTGTGGGGGGGAAGAGGAAGAGGGGAGGGAGTGGAGTAGTAAGGAGGGAGGAGGTGGGAAGGAGGGGGATATTGGGAGGGGAGGGAAAAGAAGCAGGGAACAGACAACGGCTGGCGGCTTTGACTGTGTTAGCGAGTGACGGATGGAATGAGACAAATTCTGTTCTGTTTTTCAGACACTTACTGTATTAGCGAATGACGGGTGTTCCGGCCACACGCCAGTGTCAATCACTCCCACAATCACCCCCTCCCCCGCATTATCCTGCCCGCCGTTCGCCGCCCACAGGGACCCGGGCAGGCGAAGAAATCCCGGCGAATCAGTCATCAGCTTTCTTCTCCTCACGCTGCCCGCCTGCCCGCCCACCTGCCCGCCCTTCTCGGCCTCGGGCAGCCGGGGAAAAGTATCCGGGTCGCGTAGATGGGTGCTACTAGTTAGCGCGGGTAGATACTCGTCTTCCTCCACTGCCGCTACAGCCGGGTGAAGCTTTAATCTCCTCGCCTCCGCTGACGTCAGCGAGGCGGCAAAGCCGTTCGAGGTGTAAGTGTAGCTGGAAGCGGCGAGAGAGGACGAGCGGCGCGAGCGGCCCGGGAAGAGGAGGCAAACAGGGAAAGCGGAAGAGGTAAGGAAGGGGAGAGGGTTGAGGGGGAGGGGGCGGGGAAAAGGAGGCAAACGATGAATTCAAAGGGGGCAAATTGGGGAAAGGGCGCAAAAGGGGAATGCGGAAGATGCAGGTGAGGGGAGATGGGGGAATCGGGAAATAGTAAAGGCGGGTGCGAGGGGGGCCGCGCGGAATGGGAGATGCGCGAGTGAATCTGCACGGGGAAAGCGACAAGAAGGCTGAGAGAGATGCGCGCAACTTCCACTCCCCCCTGCCTTCACCAAACTCCCCCCTTTTGCCCCCATTCCCACCCCCCTCCTTCACTCACCTTGGGATTTGCTCCTTTACAAGCACATTCATTACCAACCACACACCTCTGGTAAATCGCGCGGCTAGAGATGTCGAGTGTCGCCAGCAGCTGCCTGTGCGACTGCTTCAGGAATCGCACGAACGATCGCACGTGCGGCATGCGAACATCAGGGCGCGTCAATCGAGGAATTCGCGATTTCCCTCCTCTTATTGGCAACTTTATATTCCCCTTCACCCCACCTGTAGCCTGCACACTCGCACTCCCCTCCAGCCATTCCTGATTGTTGATTTCCCCTTGAACAGCTGCAGAAGTCGCCGGTTCGTTATAACCAGATCCATTAACGACAGAAGAGCTGGAATTAGTGTTGTTCCCCGAAGGAGTTAAAAACCCTTCTCCTCCCACTACCCCCTCTCCTTCGCCCTCCCCTTCCCCCTCTCCCTCTCCTTCCGCTTCATCATCCTCGTTATCAGGCAACGCGGTAGCAGACAAGCCGGGCAGCCCACCACGATACGACAACACGGGTGGCACGGACGCTAGAGTCACAATATACTGTTTCCGAAAAGCGCTTCTAGTACTAACGAGGATAGACGCGACTCGAGCTGTCCGATTTCCGACCACTTCCCCCGCCGACGCGCCTGCAGCTGAGTCTCGAGTCGCGTCGAAAGACGGAGCTCCTGCAGCAGCCGCGCGAACTACTGGCGAGAGTGACAATAGCGAGGTCCACGTCAGCATGCAGACTACCGTTATCAGCGCCGCCGATCTTCCGCGATACCAGCTCCTACAAGTAGTTGCGGGAAGCCGCATTCGCCGGTGCGCGGCGCGGGGTGTCCGCTTCTGAGGCGCCTCCGAAATCGAAGCGCGTGTCGTGGACGAATGGGAAGGAGACATCGCGGGATGAAATCGCGGGAGCGCGCGGGAGGCAACAGCTCGTTTTCTTCTACTCGCATCTATGACTAGCGCGCGTCTCGTAGTCGAATGCGTATTATCAAGTCGTCGACGAAGCTTCGCGAGAGGCCCACTCCGTGAGGAGCATAAACGCCGCATTATGCGTTTGAGTGGTGTTCGCGCGGCGCGGGGGATTCCAGTTCGAGTAGGAAACGAAGTCGCATAATGTAGCTCGTGGCGTAGGTGCCGTCTACAAGGTGAGAAAATATGCCGTTCTCTAGAAACGGAGCCCTGAGTTGGGCGGGTGGCAGCAGCAGCTTTTTTTTTTGCGGGAGTCCGGCGTCGGCATGCGACCAGCGTGCGACGTTGTGCTGCGACGTTGTCGTCCGAGCATGTTCGCGAGCGAGGTGTCATTTTTTGCAATTCTCTAGAAGCGATTCTCGAATAACGTGTTCTAGAAGCTCGAAACTTGAGACGCGCCCAAAATCGTCTCTTTCCTGAATCGCGCATGCTAAGGTCGAGTGACTAGCATACGAGTGCTATTGGATGTAAATATAATAATCTCCTTTCAGCAGGTCAAGCCAGCGAACAGGATATACAATCCCTTTTTCGGAAATTAGGATGAGGCGACTCGCAATGCTCAAGAGAACCCAACTGTGTTTGTAGAGAATTCAAGCGAACGACATCGGTCCATCGCCCCCTAATTGCCAGGCCGCAGGTAACTAGCCAAGTAATCGGCCCTTGTTCTTATCACGGCTCCCCTTCATCAGCCATTGTACGACGCGCCTCGTGAGGAATTGAGATTTGCTCCGATGGCAGCTGTAACATTCAAAGGTGGTGGAATTGACGAGCCGCCCGCATGAGACCCCAGTTTGAATGGACGAAACAAGGAACACGAAATGTACTTTGGCTAATTGTTTGCAGTGGGACAAAGAAAACCAGTTGTTTCAACTGCCCCCGGAACCCGGAAAGGTTCCTGGTTTCCACAACGAACACGGCCTAAGGAAAGGGAGCCGATTGAGTGCGGTGCGTTACGTGGGGCAAGTGTTTGGGTTCTCATCGCCAACCTCGGTATTCGCCAGTTCGTGCATGCGCCAGCCAACAGAGCCTTCCCGACACTGCTGATCTTGTTCCTTTAACGAAAGTGCTTATTGTCCTGCTCCCTTTGTCTTAGAGTCCAGTCACATATAAGCAGACAAAGCTCTGTGCTCTGGTAATTATTTGTTGTAACAAACGAAATTCAAGTTTATACAGAAAAGGTAAATATGTATTATTTGCTGTACACCCAAAAGGTGCTATGTTTCTTGACCATTGTAAAATATACACATGGAGTACAACCCCCCAAAAACATCATGTATAGGGCATTATTGCCAGTAGAACCGCATGACGTCTCGGACTTATTCTGGACCACTCTTTAAATTGGAATGACAGGGCTTGGGAACACCGAAGCGGGGTGCGTGAGCAAGGCAGAAACGCCACTGCCATCGCCAGCAAAGCATGATTGCGGGATAGAGTATAAATCATGGCGCCGCTGGAGCTCATGCATCACGGTAGAAGGTGTAGATGCAGCTGACAGGGAGGCACCAGAAGCAGCAGAGGTAGCTGCTGAAACTGCAGCAGCAGCACCAGCAGCAGCAGGGAAAGCAGCAGCAGCAGCAGCAGCAGCAGCAGCAGCACCTGCTGCCCCCGGAAAAGCACTGGCAGATGCAGATCGGCCAGCAGAATCCAAGGCGGAGAAAATCGGAGATAAGATCTGAGAAGATTGACCGGGTTGAGTGGGTTGACCAGGTTGACCAGGTTGACCAGCAGTGTATGAAGTCACCCCCAGAAGGCTCTCAACTGCCTCTAGCTCCTGCAGCGGTACGTCCAGGTTTGGATCATCCAGATTCTGACACGTGTACAGAGCAGGATCCAACGGCTCACACGCGACGAGAGCCACACTCAGGTACTGGAAAGTCTCCAGCTGAGCGGGCGAGCATGGCATGCCCTTGGGAACTCCGGAGAAAGGTGCACCGTTGATGATTTAGGGCGGCGTGAGTTGTCCGTATGGCAGGTCGGATTTCTGCGAAGGACCCTGCTCCACTTGCAGCCAAAATGGGTCACTGAAACTGCAAGATTCATTTCCCAGCTTGAATCTGCATGCCTGATCGCCCCCCTGCCCAGCCACTAGCATGTCAGCAGGCAGAGCGGCGGCGGTTATGTGCGCATCACTTTCAAAGCTCCCACCGCTCGCCATGCCCTGCCCCGTCATGTCATTTGCACCTCTCTCCTTGAACGATTTTTCAAAGAGAGCCTCGAGCATCGCAGCAGGATTATTCTCGGAAGTTTTTTTCGCACTGCAACCCTTTTCCAAACCTCCGGAGGGCTTTCCGATCCACTTCTTTCCAGCCTCCCTTGCAGCGGCCGAACCTGTAATAGTCCGCTGCTCCTGGGCTTGAAGAAATCCTGCAGCGGCGGCTTGATGTGCTGGTTCGGGCCAAGCCAGAGGGCCAGGTCCAGCTCCCGAAGCTGAGACGGGGAGCATCGCGGCTTCAAGTGCAGCTTGGGCGTTGTTGATTGGGCGTGCAGGGATTGTGCTGGTCATTGCTTGCTGGCCGTGCTGCTGCTGCTGCTGCTGCTGCTTCTGCTGGTGCTGCTGCTGCTGGTGCTGCTGTGCTGCCTGGCAATTAAGCTGCTGGGCGTATGCCAGTTGCTGCCGTTGCAGGAACATTCTTGTGATCTCATCTTCCAGTGTCTGTTGTCGCTGCCGCTGCTCCTGTAGTTGTAACTGTTCCTGCAGCTGCTGCTTCAGTAGTTGTTGCTGCAGTTTCTGAACCTGCTCCTGACATTCCATCTGTTGCTCACATCCCAACGGCTGCTTCTGAGTGTACTGAAAAGGCTGCTGCTGCTGCTCCAAAAACTGCTGCTGCAGCTGAGTCTGCTGAGTCAGCATCATCGCATTCTCCATCATTGCCAGCTCAGCAGCAATCTGAGCTTGCTGCTGCTCAGCCTGACGCGCCTCCATCAGCAGCCGCAGCTGCTGCCGCTGCCGCCGCCTCAGCAGATACAGCTGCATTTGTAGCGACACCTCATCTTCTGGAGCCACCTCTGCCACGTCAGCATCAGGAAATGGAGCCGGAAAGTTCATAGCTACAGCCCGACGTGCAGTGGGTGTAGACCTTGCTCTTTTTGGAGGGCTCTCGCTTTCGGGGATAACAGTAGAACTTGCGTTTACTGTACCTGTAGTTATTGAACGCGTGAACGCTCTCTTTCGCAAAAGGTCGCCCTTGGTACAGTCACGCTCGTGACCGTTCGTTACAAGGCGAGGTGCGGCGTCTTGGACGCGAGCACGTGGGAATTCTTGCGAAAACTGCTGCTGACCCATCAAGTGCGAAAACTCCTGCAGCGTCGTCGCCGTAACACCGCAGCTCTCGCGCGGCACCACCACGCTGCCTCCGCACGTCCCCTCCGCGTTGCGAAGTTTAGCGAAGCCATCGAGCGAACTCGCTGGATGCGACTGAAGCGGCGGCATGCGACCGTAACTGCGACTCGTTGCGAAAGGCCCACTGGCAGCAGTCAGCTCGGGAACCCTAAAAATTGGCTGCGACGAAGTAGCCGCGGCAGCAGGAGTCGCAGCAGCAGCAGCAGCAGCCGCCGCCGGGGGAGTCGTAAAATAAACCCTCGCCGCGGTGCGCAGCGACGAAACCGCGGCGCCGCGCTCTGACGACGGCGATGATCCGCAATCTCGCCGAGGCTGCGCCAGAAGCGCTGGACACGCCACCATCTGCGCAGCCGCGTTTCCCGCCATCGGCGCAAGCGGTGCTGCCGCGGACCACTGGCGGCGCGACGCCAAGTTTTCAGAGTTGGAGAGCTGCGAATTTCCTGCTTGCGATTTTTGCGAAAGAGTTGCCGTTGTTGCCAGCATCGCTGGCAATTCGTCGCTCGACTTTTCTCGCCGGACGAGCGGTGCGACCTTCCAATCCAGATCGCGACCCCAAGCCACCGCCATCTCTTCGAGCCGCGGCGATCTCGACGGCACAGGTACTGTCGGCGCCGTCGGAAAGCGCTGTGCGGGAGTCACGGAAGGTGCGACCCGGCCCGGGTGAAGGCGCTGCTGCTGCTGCTGCTGGAACGACAACGCGGAATGTGGAGCCATGATGGTAGCTCGCTCGTAGCCGCCACTGTCGTTGCAGGCACAGGACTGAACTTGCTATTAACAGATCTCGTACAATTACTACCGTGGCGCTCCGCTGAGCCAGTGACAGCGCGAATCGCAGCTAGTAGCTTGTGCCCCGAGTCTGTCACGCGTCCAACTGTTTAACGCGCAACCTCGGAATTGAGCGTCTTTCAAGGGCACTGCTAGCGGGAAATGAGGCCGGTGCGGGTCTGGAATTGCGGCTTTCTAATCGAGGAGCGGAAGAGGCTGTAAGGAGCTCGGACCGGGAATAACGGTTGGCGTTTAGTGCTACGTTACGTCCCGTTTCCAGTTTGGACGAGTCTGTTAGGATAACCTGTGGGATTAATTACCACAAATCGGTTTGAGGAAGACAAAGAAACTTTCCGTACAGCTGGGAGTGAGAAAGAAACTACGCCGCCGCAATTCAAGCGCTCCTATCCATAAGCCAAGGCCTTCAGAGAAACACGAAGCGCGGAAGACGCGAAAGAGCAGGACTATCACGTGGGGAACGAGAGGGGTTACAGCTTGAATGGGGATCTGGGATAACAGGAGAGATATCGAATTGATCAGATTGCGATGTAGATGGTGGATTGGTGCACGGCAAGCGTCGGATTGAACGAGGTAACCGGGTGGTCCAAATAAGGACCGGTGCTTGTGGTTTGTTATTGCTGCCACAGTGTGGGTGGGTTTGCATTGCGTGTTCTGCTCTGGTCTTTTGCGTTCTACTCTACGGCGCTATGGCTGCTTCGAACACCAACCCCACACAAGCGACACTTGACTTATTCCCCACGGCTGATTCGCCACCATCGCGCAGTATGGAACTGGAAGTGACGAGACAATCCTACAGCCATAGCAGCACAAGGCGCTTCCAGCATGTGCTGCCTGCACAGTGCGCTCTCCGACGTTTTCTAGCAGCCGCACAGGCGATTGATTTGCAGTCTCATGGACGAGTGAAAAGGGAGGAGCGATGGGAAGGGCAAGCGACAGAAGAGGGGCGCAATTCGACGAGCAGACTGAAAGTGGCACGCGTCGCACGTCACGGGCGAGATGGATGATGAGAGGAATGAAATGGAAGCAAGTACAGGAAGGATTTGCGGTGCTTGGTTTGGGTACCATCGAACCTCAGGCGCGTTCAAAATTCCATTATGAGCTCACCTCTGAGATTAATCCTACCGCATGAAAAAATCTCGGTAAAAAGGATTGAATTTCTTTGCCCGTTTGTCTCTTTGAGCCCATTTCAACAGCGATGAGCTTTGAAATTACTTTCTTCCCAGTTGGGGTGTTGATGTCGCATCTGTCGGTGTCGTTGCCTGGTCCTCGAGGCAATGGCCCCCTCGAAAAGAATCAAGAGGATTTTGCGGAAGAACCGCCTGGGCTGACGTGGAATCTTCGAGATATCCTGCCGAGCCTAACTGTCTGGTCACGACAAGCGTAGGTCACCTGCTCGACGCAACTCTAGCATTTCCGAGCCTATTTGAGTGATCATCACAAGACGCACAAAATCCTCTAGTGCTACCAGAAATACTGTAGACAGGGATAAGAGGCACGTGATAAGCAGCGCTGGTCTGTAAAACGACAAACGGCTTGAACGTGAAGAGATGATGATGATGGGTGTTTCCACCCCAAATGGACACGTAGGTTCATGCTTCGCCAGCTACAGAACTGTTGGTGGCAACAGTGTGCCCCCGAACCGAACCGAAGTGGACGTCACGCGCCACACTGTACCTCGCGACGAAAGTGTAGGGAGGTCAGGAGGAGCACGCGGAGCTCCCCAATCTGATCGGTATTAGCTGCATGTAGAACGTTCCATTGCGGTGCGCAATGGTTAACGAACCTTCTGAAGCTCGTGTTTGAATACTCGCTATGAAGGCACCCGCATTGGTGCAGTTTGTGTGGAAGAATTCCCAAAATACACACGGAAGCTGTACTGGCGTATTACCCAAATTCCCAACACTTATGTGCGACGCTCTCAGTGCTGGTTCCAGAAATCCCTAAATTCCTCTTATGCTAATCACCTTGCGCACGGTGACGCTCTGGAATGGCGGAGCGGGACTTTCCGCGCGGCCCGCCCGGGGTGCATTTTAACGACGTGCCGCCATTCAAACAGCCCTTTTTCGACGCGATGGCCGAGGAAAAATCTCCGCTCAACCATCCTCCTCACCCACTTTCGGCGCCAGGTTTCCCCGCTTCGCCCAACCTACCCGCCGCATTTCCCGCGTCATCCGATCTTCCCGCGTTCCCCGCTGGATCCAGCCTATCTTACGGTCGCAGCGACTCTCCTCTCCCCGCGTGCCTCGCGCCGCGATTCACGCAGACCAAATCTCGCGACGACGTTGCCGCTGATTGCACCATGCCTCACGCGTTCAAGCAGTCGCTCGACGACCTCTGCTGCCTGAATCTAATTGGCTCCCGGAACGCCACGCTCGAGGCGCCTCGGAGCACCAACCGAGCCGCGCAAAGTCAAATCTTTGACGACTTTTCCTGCTTAGGGTTAGGGCTCGAGGACGAATCCGACGGCCTGTTCCGATCTGCGCCGCAAAGCCGCGCAATTTCCCCCCCGCCCGCCTTTCTCCCTCCGCTAGCCGTTTCCCCGCCGCTGGGCCCAGAGCGCGCGGCTCCAGAAAGCGCGCCCGGCGCGCAAGTCTCCGCGTTCAGCGCCGCGCTTGCCGCCGCTACAAGCGCCACCGCCAAAAGCTCGTCCGCAGCCTTCGCGGCAGATCAACCCCCCCAACTCCCGCGCTCCCCCTTCTCGCCTTCCCCCGCCAATGCCCCCGCCGTTCCGCTCCCCCCTTCCCTCTCCGCCTCTGCCCGCCCGTCGCACCCGCTTTCCCGCGACTCCGGTTTAGAGACATCTTTAAACTCCTCCTCCCATCACCCTTCCTCTCGCCCCTCCTCCTCCTCGTCCTCTCACCCGTCTTATCCGCTTTCCCGAGAGTCGTTGCTGCGACGGCCGACGCGGATTATATTAGTGCGACACGGGCAGAGCGAGGGGAACCTGGACGAGGGGATTTACACCCGAATCGCGGACTCGCGCGTGTCGTTAACTCCATTAGGGTTCGAACAGGCCGTAGAATGCGGCAAGCAGATTCGGAAACTAATCGAATTCGACCGGCAAAAGGGCGTGAAGCAAGGGAGAGGTGGGGAGGAAGGGAGGCGGAACGTGGGAGGGGGTGATCCTAGCGAGGGTGATTGTAACGGAGATGAGGAGGAGGATGATTGGGGGGTGTATTTCTACGTATCGCCCTACCTACGAACTCTTCAGGTAATTCGTCTTGGGACGTCTCAAAGCAAATTCTCTTTCACGTGTATTTCTACGTATCACCCAACCTGCGAACTCTGCAGGTGATTAGTAGGTGGTTAGGAACGGGGAACTAGTAGGGCGCTTTCTAGAGGGTGAGGAGAACAATAGAGCCAAGGCCGCTTTTCAGGTGATTAGTAGGGGAAAGGGTAACGCGGGGGAACGGGGAACGGGGAAGGGGGAACGGGAACGAGTAGGGCGCTTTCTGGAGGGCGAGGAGAACAATAGAGCCAAGGCCGCTATTGCCTCTCCATCCCCCCTCTCACCCATAAATCTAAAACCTGAAACCCGAGTACTATTGCCGCTCTGCTCCCCAACCAAAGCATGAACCTCTTAAACCTTGAACCCTCCGTTTTTTCTAAAACCCTGACCCTCCTCCCCCATCTTCCCCACCCCCTCTTTCTCCCCCCCCCCCCCTCTCCACGCCCCTCCCTGGCTGCAAACCCTGCGGGGCATAGGGCGCGCGTTTGAGAGGCGGCACATTCTGGGGGTGAGGGAGGAGCCTAGGCTTAGGGAGCAGGACTTCGGAAACTTCCAAGTAAGAGCGGGCACGTTCTGGGAAACTTCCAGGTAGAAAGGGCGGATTTGGGAAGCATCAAGGTAGGGGTGGGCTTGCTTTGGGAAGCTTCCATGTGAAGGAGGGCTTTGGGAAGCTTTCATGCGCCATGAAGCTTTAAAATGTCAATTTATGGATGCAACCTTCCATTCCCCATGACCGCACACATTGTTACACTCCACCTGTTTTCACCACACCCCACCCCACCATTCCCCACCCCACCATTCCCCACCCCACCCTGCCGCACCCCACACCACGCCAGGTGCAGGAGCGCATGTGTCGGATCAAGGACATGCGGCAACGCAATTACACAAGTGTAGAGATATTTAGATGTGCTTTGTGCACACCATTGCACCACACCCCACCAATCCCCACCACACGCCCCAACACCCCACCCCACCCACCCCACCCCACTGCACCTCACTACACCACACCAGGTGCAGGAGCGCATGTGGCAGATCAAGGACATGAGGCAGTGCAGGAACATCAGCGCACATCACCACACCACACCCCACCACACCAAACCCTACCCCACACCACCCCACCCCATCCCACCGCACCACACCACACCAGGTCCAGGAGCGCATGCGGCAGATCAAGGACATGAGGCAGCGGTTTGGGCGTTTCTTCTACCGATTCCCTGAGGGGGAGTCGTCTGCTGATGTATATGATCGTGTGACTGGTGGGTTGCTCTCCACCCCACCCCACCGCATCACACCACACCCCACCACAGCATCAATTTTGTCTGCCTTCAACTCACTTCACACCACTTCTCACCACATCACACCGCAATACACCTCCCAAACACAATCCCCTGAGGGTGAGTTGTCTGCTGACGTGTACGACTGCGTGACTGGTGGTTTGCACCGCACCCCACCCCACCCCACCCCCAGCACACCACAGCACTCCACACCACAGCATCACCTCACTTAACAGCAGACCTCACATCTCGGAAGACATACACAGTGATCGAGACATGGACTGGCATCTTTTGAGTCGACTCGCAACTGCAGTAATGCGGGCGGGTCACATCGGCCTGGTTCTAGTTCATTCACACCCCACCCCACTCCTCCTTCCCCTCCCCCACGAGGTTCCTTGACAGCTTGTGGGGGGACATAGACTGGTGCCGATTGCACCCTCCTCCTCCCCCTCCTTGTGCCAAATGCGTGAATTCACACACATGGAGGTGTGGGGCTGGCAGTTCAAGTCACATCTTGGTTCTTGTCCACCGCACCCCACCACACCTCACCCCACCACACCCCACCCCACCCCACCCCACCCCACTCTCCCCCTCCACAGGTTTCCTTGACAGCTTGTGGCGGGACATTGACTGGTGCCGATTGCACCCTCCTCCTCCAGCTTCTCCTCCTCCTCCCTCAGCCCACCCTCCTGTTGCGGCCACCACTGCTGCTGCTGCTGCCACTGTTTCTGCTGCTAATTGTGCTGCTGATGCTGTTGCTACTGGTGGTTCTTCTGATGGTTCTGCCGCTGGTGCTGCTGGTAGTGCAGGCGCCGCTCATGTTGCTGGTTCTCCTGTGTTGGGAGGTGGCCGAGAGGAGCAAGATGAAAGGGGGGGAGACGGGGCGAGAGGAAAGGAGGGGAGATGGGCGGATAGGTTCGGCACATGCACATGCCGACATACCTACACATGCCGACACACACGCCACTCCCCCTCCTCCTGCTCCCTCTCCCCCCCCTGCTCCCCCTCCTCCTGCTTCTCCCCCTCCCCCGCGGCGAAAGGCGCTCAACATAGTGATGGTGACGCACGGGCTGACCACACGTGTGTTCCTCATGCGCTGGTTGCGCTGGTGAGCTGGACGCATTGCCCCTCCCTCCCCCCTCCTACTCCTCATGCGCTGGTTGCGCTGGTGAGCTGGACGCATTGCCCCTCCCTCCCCCCTCCTACTCCTCATGCGCTGGTTGCGCTGGTGAGCTGGACGCATTGCCCCTCCCTCCCCCCTCCTACTCCTCATGCGCTGGTTGCGCTGGTGAGCTGGACGCATTGCCCCTCCCTCCCCCCTCCTACTCCTCATGCGCTGGTTGCGCTGGTGAGCTGGACGCATTGCCCCTCCCTCCCCCCTCCTACTCCTCATGCGCTGGTTGCGCTGGTGAGCTGGACGCATTGCCCCTCCCTCCCCCCTCCTACTCCTCATGCGCTGGTTGCGCTGGTGAGCTGGACGCATTGCCCCTCCCTCCCCCCTCCTACTCCTCATGCGCTGGTTGCGCTGGTGAGCTGGACGCATTGCCCCTCCCTCCCCCCTCCTACTCCTCATGCGCTGGTTGCGCTGGTGAGCTGGACGCATTGCCCCTCCCTCCCCCCTCCTACTCCTCATGCGCTGGTTGCGCTGGTGAGCTGGACGCATTGCCCCTCCCTCCCCCCTCCTACTCCTCATGCGCTGGTTGCGCTGGTGAGCTGGACGCATTGCCCCTCCCTCCCCCCTCCTACTCCTCATGCGCTGGTTGCGCTGGTGAGCTGGACGCATTGCCCCTCCCTCCCCCCTCCTACTCCTCATGCGCTGGTTGCGCTGGTGAGCTGGACGCATTGCCCCTCCCTCCCCCCTCCTACTCCTCATGCGCTGGTTGCGCTGGTGAGCTGGACGCATTGCCCCTCCCTCCCCCCTCCTACTCCTCATGCGCTGGTTGCGCTGGTGAGCTGGACGCATTGCCCCTCCCTCCCCCCTCCTACTCCTCATGCGCTGGTTGCGCTGGTGAGCTGGACGCATTGCCCCTCCCTCCCCCCTCCTACTCCTCATGCGCTGGTTGCGCTGGTGAGCTGGACGCATTGCCCCTCCCTCCCCCCTCCTACTCCTCATGCGCTGGTTGCGCTGGTGAGCTGGACGCATTGCCCCTCCCTCCCCCCTCCTACTCCTCATGCGCTGGTTGCGCTGGTGAGCTGGACGCATTGCCCCTCCCTCCCCCCTCCTACTCCTCATGCGCTGGTTGCGCTGGTGAGCTGGACGCATTGCCCCTCCCTCCCCCCTCCTACTCCTCATGCGCTGGTTGCGCTGGTGAGCTGGACGCATTGCCACTCCCTCCCCCCTCCTACTCCTCATGCGCTGGTTGCGCTGGTGAGCTGGACGCATTGCCACTCCCTCCCCCCTCCTACTCCTCATGCGCTGGTTGCGCTGGTGAGCTGGACGCATTGAACCGGGGCAACTGCGAGATACGAGTGATGGAGATGAGGCAGGGAGGGAAGTACAGCCTGGCTGTGAGTACGAGTACAGCCTGGCTGTGAGTACGAGTACAGCCTGGCTGTGAGTACGAGTACAGCCTGGCTGTGAGTACGAGTACAGCCTGGCTGTGAGTACGAGTACAGCCTGGCTGTGAGTACGAGTACAGCCTGGCTGTGAGTACGAGTACAGCCTGGCTGTGAGTACGAGTACAGCCTGGCTGTGAGTACGAGTACAGCCTGGCTGTGAGTACGAGTACAGCCTGGCTGTGAGTACGAGTACAGCCTGGCTGTGAGTACGAGTACAGCCTGGCTGTGAGTACGAGTACAGCCTGGCTGTGAGTACGAGTACAGCCTGGCTGTGAGTACGAGTACAGCCTGGCTGTGAGTACGAGTACAGCCTGGCTGTGAGTACGAGTACAGCCTGGCTGTGAGTACGAGTACAGCCTGGCTGTGAGTACGAGTACAGCCTGGCTGTGAGTACGAGTACAGCCAGGCTGTGAGTACGAGTACAGCCTGGCTGTGAGTACGAGTACAGCCTGGCTGTGAGTACGAGTACAGCCTGGCTGTGAGTACGAGTACAGCCTGGCTGTGAGTACGAGTACAGCCTGGCTGTGAGTACGAGTACAGCCTGGCTGTGAGTACGAGTACAGCCAGGCTGTGAGTACGAGTACAGCCTGGCTGTGAGTACGAGTACAGCCTGGCTGTGAGTACGAGTACAGCCTGGCTGTGAGTACGAGTACAGCCAGGCTGTGAGTACGAGTACAGCCTGGCTGTGAGTACGAGTACAGCCTGGCTGTGAGTTCGAAACTACGAATTGCTTCTCTTCTTCTGCAGTTCAACACGCACGCATGACGAGGGCAGCTGGGGGGGACTATAGTGCATGACGAGGGCAGCTGGGGGGGACTATAGTGCATGACGAGGGCAGCTGGGGGGGACTATAGTGCATGACGAGGGCAGCTGGGGGGGACTATAGTGCATGACGAGGGCAGCTGGGGGGGACTATAGTGCATGACGAGGGCAGCTGGGGGGGACTATAGTGCATGACGAGGGCAGCTGGGGGGGACTATAGTGCATGACGAGGGCAGCTGGGGGGGACTATAGTGCATGACGAGGGCAGCTGGGGGGGACTATAGTGCATGACGAGGGCAGCTGGGGGGGACTATAGTGCATGACGAGGGCAGCTGGGGGGGACTATAGTGCATGACGAGGGCAGCTGGGGGGGACTATAGTGCATGACGAGGGCAGCTGGGGGGGACTATAGTGCATGACGAGGGCAGCTGGGGGGGACTATAGTGCATGACGAGGGCAGCTGGGGGGGACTATAGTGCATGACGAGGGCAGCTGGGGGGGACTATAGTGCATGACGAGGGCAGCTGGGGGGGACTATAGTGCATGACGAGGGCAGCTGGGGGGGACTATAGTGCATGACGAGGGCAGCTGGGGGGGACTATAGTGCATGACGAGGGCAGCTGGGGGGGACTATAGTGCATGACGAGGGCAGCTGGGGGGGACTATAGTGCATGACGAGGGCAGCTGGGGGGGACTATAGTGCATGACGAGGGCAGCTGGGGGGGACTATAGTGCATGACGAGGGCAGCTGGGGGGGACTATAGTGCATGACGTGGAGGAAACCAGTGACTTGTATGGTCGTGCTTTCTGTGCATGACTTTGTGACTGGTTTCCTCCCGTCTCTTCCCCTCTGCAGCCCAGCATGCGCGCATGACGAGGGCAGTGGAAGGGCGACAGGAAGGGGTGACTGTGGAATGGACTCTTGAGAATTCTCAAAAGTCGCACCAAGACTCTGATGTAACTTTTGTAGCGGTGTTCTTTCCTCCTCCCGCGTCGCCCCCCTTGCAGACCAGCACGCGCGCATGACGAGGGCAGTGGGCGACAGGAAGGGCCGCGGCACCTCGGGATCTCCGGGGTGGCTCTCCTTCTTCGACCACCTGGAAGCCCCTCCCGCTGCTGCTGCAGGAGAAGCAACAGCAGCAGAGGATGGGCCGGCACGAGCAGCTGCAGAGGCGGCAGGAGCAGCAAGAGCAGCAGCAGGCAGAGCAACTTCTGAGCCAGCTCACAGCTCTCTGTGTGACTCTTCTCTCCTTTCCCCCTTGCAGACCAGCACGCACGCATGACGAGGGCAGTGGGCGACAGGAAGGGCCGCGGCACCTCGGGATCTCCGGGGTGGCTCTCCTTCTTCGACCACCTGGAAGCCCCTCCCGCTGCTGCTGCAGGAGGTGCAGCAGCGGCAGCAGCATCAGCAGCATCGCCAGCAGCAGCAGCATCAGCATCGCCAGCAGCAGCAGCATCAGCATCGCCAGCAGCAGCATTGCCAGTGGGCGCAGCAGCAGCAGCGACAGCAGCAGGCAGAGCAGCAGCAGAAGTGGCAGAAACAGCAGTAGCAGCAGGCAGAGCAGCAGCAGAAGTGGCAGAAACAGCAGTAGCAGCAGGCAGAGCAGCAGCAGGTGCAGCAGCAGCAGGAGAAGCAGCAGAAGCTGGAGCAGCAGGAGCAGCAAAGTCCTCTCAGGTGTCACATGCTTCTAGCCATATCCCACATCCGGTACCCGTTAGTCTTCCCTCTCAAATCTCCCTTTCTGTGGATTTCGTGCCTGCTGCGGCTGCTGCTCCTGCTGCTGGCTTGGCTGCTCGTCCTGCTGCTGGCTCGGCTGCTGGTCCGGGTGTTGTTTCGGCTGCTGGTTCGGCGGATGGCTTTGATTATGCTGCTGGTGCTGGTGCATCATTTGAAGGGAATGGCGGGAAAGAGGAGAAGCAAGCATCCATATACGGCACTGGAGAACAGGAGGAGGAGGAGGAGGAGCAAGAAGTGGAGAGTGAGGGAGGTGGTTTTGCCTTCATGCCGCCAGGAGCATGTGATGAGGTGGGTGGTGGCAATGGGAGCCCTACTCTAGGGAATACTGATGGTAGTAATGGTAGGGCTGTGGAGTGGGGTACGGATGGCAGCCAGTGTGAAGGGGAGGATAGTGCAGGGAGGATTTTGGGATGGCGGAGTGAGAAATCGGTGGCCGAGAGCAATGATACCACCCCGATATGATTGCGCAGGAAGGGCAATGGAATACCGGTATGTGCAATGGATTCGCCTGACGATTAGTTTCTGCAAGCTAACTTCTGAGATGCATTTCTTACATGTACCTGCTTTGTACCCTTCCGATTTGTACCCAGCTCAGGACTGAGCCTGTTGAAGCACAGATGAAGGTGTGTTGAGAATAAAATAGAGACTGGTTGGGTGGGGTTTTGCATGGTTCAACATGAATTCGGCAGCGTGCAATCAGCTACACTTGGGGCACACTCAACCTCCCATCTTGCACACGCCCACACAGAGTCTACACTAGCAATGGTAGAACAAATATTGCAACGCCCCAAATATTACAAGGTCCCATGGCACTGCACAGACAAGCCTAAGTCATGGCTTAGATACGGCTCAGACATTGTAGTTCTCCTGGTACCACTTGTACACCTCCGTGAGGCCCTCCTTGAGCCCCACCTTGGGCTTCCACCCCAGCTTGTGCAGGTTCGAGCTGTCCATGAGCTTCCTGGGCGTGCCGTCGGGCTTGGTCGTGTCCCACGTGATCTCGCCCTCGTACCCCACAACCTCCTTGACCGTCTCCGCGAGCTGCTTGATCGTGAGCTCGATGCCGGTTCCCACGTTCAGGTGGGGAATGTCGCTGTAGTTGTTGAGCAGGAAGACGAGAGCATCTGGAGGAGAGGGGATTCCAGAAAAGAAGGGTTGGATCAGGGGGAACAGTTGGCGACGGGTCAAGGGTTGACGGATGGTGCACACACGCTCTGCATAAAGGAACGTGATTTTTGCAGAAGGGTCCAACGGTTGTCAGTGGTTTTGGCGAGGGAAGAAATCGGGTGGATATTTTCTGTCTGTGTTCATCGAGACTTGAGAAGAATCGCACACAACCTAGAATGCGCCTACTCCGCGGGTATTACTTGATTAACACACGGTATGGACCAGTTCATGCGTACTAACAAAATCGCTTCGACAGTGAAGATGGTGTGCGTGCAGAAAACAAAACCGTGTGAATTTAATCTCATACCTGCGAGATCATCCGTGTGCATGAATTCACGCAGAGCAGTGCCGGTACCCCAGCAGACCACCTCCTTGGCTCCGGTCTTCTTGGCCTCGTGGAACCGTCGGATCAGAGCAGGCAGCACGTGGGAGTTGGTCGGGTGGAAGTTGTCGTACGGGCCGTACATGTTGGTCGGCATCGCTGAGATGGCATCGAAGTTGTACTGCAGGAAGGAACAAGTAACAATGAAGGAAGGAACAGAAACAAATTGGAACAGAAGCAAAACAAGGAGATAACACGGCCAATTTGAACCTATCACAGGACAAGCCGACATGCTTCCTGAATAGACATCAAATAAGTCATGAGTCTTACAGGACATACCTGAATTCTGTAGGCTTGGCACATCTTGATACCGGCGATCTTGGCAACGGCATACCACTCGTTCGTGGGCTCCAGGGGTCCGGTTAGCAGAGCATCCTCAGTAATAGGCTGGGGAGCAAGCTTCGGGTAGATGCAAGACGATCCGAGGAAGACAAGCTTCTTCACTCCGGCCCTGTAAGCGGCATCGATGAGATTGGTCTGGATTTGAAGATTGATTCCGATGAAATCGGCGGGGTAGACGCTGTTAGCGTGAATTCCGCCGACTTTCGCAGCAGCGACGATGACATAATCAGGCTTCTCCGTTTTCATGTACTCCTCGACGAGCGCTTGCCGTGTCAGATCAAGCTCCTCAATGGATTTTCCGACGACATTGTTATATCCCTCCTTCTTGAGCTTCCTGCAGATGGCTGATCCCACAAGACCGGTGTGGCCAGCCACATAGATCTTGGCGTCCTTATCCATCACCATCTTGACCTGTTGATAACGAGTACAGTTACAGAATACACATCAGCGAACAGGACCTGACATTGAACGAATATAAGTAGGCTCATAGATTCACAAGAAGCTCGGGATGTAATCTTGTTCACAATGGGATGGGGAAGTAGCAGCTACCTTTGCACGATAGTACTGTGTGATGGCAGGACGAGCAAGACGAAATCGAGAAAGGTGAACTGGAGCAGAAAGGGAAAGCCTTGTAAGTGGAAGAGCAATTGCACCTGCAATTGCGACTACTGATTGCTGAAACTGAAGTCTGGAAATCCAGAAATGCTATATTTGTAATCCCGAAATGTGCCTGATTTCCTCACCACCTTGGCAGCAAGGTAGGTGGCTCAACAACGCCTTGAAGTTGATCCGCCAAATTGGTTCCGTCCGTTCCATGACAGGATGGGGTGGGGAGAGGGAGGGAGGCATCTGTCAAATTGGTTCGGGTCGGAAACTACGGGAAGATCAAATGCCGGTTGGCGTTCATCCAACGGTTGAAATTACCTACGTGGTCGATCGGACGGTGAGATTTGCCAAGCGGCGTGTGATGCGTGTCATCGAGTTAGGTGGGGGTGGGGGAGTGGGAGATGATGCTGAGTGGGACCGCAGATTTGTGGGGCACTGTGATTGGCTGACGCACCAACATAGACGGTCAACGAAACGGATGAACGGCACCTGAAACTCTCTGTTACTGCGCTAGGGTCAGGTCAGGTGAGGTGAATTGGGTGCAGTGTGGATTCCAATTCTGTAACTCAAGGCGTTCTCGGGTGTTTACTCCGGCAGAAAAACGGGGTCAAAATCTGGATTCTATATAAGCATCAGGAGTCAGGACTCAGGACACTTTTAGGTTAACAAACCTTGAAGCTCTGCACCATACCACAGTTTTGAATTCCGCTTTTGTGATGTAAACGTAAAAGCCAGAATCAGTATATTATCACACACAATTCCATAATCAGAATTGTCATGCAAGTCATACACAGAAAAAGGCTGCACAACTGTATCTTGGCCATACACCTAATTCGACGTTACTTCGCTGCTCTCTTCCTCCACCTTGGCATCAGCCAAATCAGCGGCCAGAATGGCCACCAGATACTCGGGGTTGGTCTTGAGGAAATGCTCAAACTCATCCCAGGAGAGAGACGTCTTGCTGTTGAGCCCCAGCAGCTCGCACAGCTTGGCCAGCTGCAGAGCGACAAGTGAATGAGAAATAATAGACGATTGAGGGGGGGTGAGAGAGTTGAGAGTTCATCCCAGGAGAGAGACGTCTTGCTGCTGAGCCCCAGCAGCTCGCACAGCTTAGCCAACTGCAGGCACACGAGAGGTGGGAGTGGCAGCCAGGAACGAGAAGAAATAGAGAATTGGAGGGAATTGGGGGAGGATGTGAGAGCTAAGAGATCATCCCAGGAGAGAGACGCCTTGCTGCTGAGCCCCAGCAGGTTGCACAGCTTAGCCAGCTGCAGGCAAGGCAGGAGGGAGAAGTGGGATGTATGGAAAGAGAGGGTGGGGTGGAGGGGGGTGAACAGAATCCCAGGACACACCACACAACAGTCAGCCGTCCATCCGACCGCATTGGACCTCGTTCCACCGCACTGCACTGCACCAGACCAATCCACACCCACCCACCTGTTCGTCTGTGATCGCAGGGAACAGCTCCCGCATGCCCTCCTTGGCCTCATGCGCTGTCAGCCGTCCATCGCCATCCAGACCACACTACACAGCACCGCATAACACCGCATTGCACCGTCCAGGATCGCACTTCACCGCACTGCACCAGACCAACACACCCACCCACCTGCTCATCTGTGATCGCAGGGAAGAGCTCCCGCATGCCCTCCTTGGCCTCGTGCGCTGTCAGCCGTCCATCTCCGTCCAAATCCAACCGCTTGAAAGCCTTCTCAACCGAGTCGTGGAATTGAGGATGGCGCGACACAAAGACCAGCCCTGCCAGGAACTGCAAAAGGGGGAAGAGAGAGGGGGGGAAGGGGAAGAGCAGTGCACCTCACACCACCGCATCGCACCGCATCACCTGTCCAACCGCTTGAAAGCCTTCTCAACCGAGTCGTGGAATTGAGGATGGCGCGACACAAAGACCAACCCTGCCAGGAACTGCAGAAGGGGGAAGAGAGAGGGGGGGAAGGGGAAGAGCAGTGCATCTCACACCACCGCATTGCACCGCATCACCTGTCCAACCGCTTGAAAGCCTTCTCCACCGAATCATGGAATTGTGGATGGCGCGACACAAACACCAGCCCCGCCAGGAACTGCAGAGGGGAAGAGAGAAGGGGGGAAGGGGAAGAGTAGTGCACTTCACACCACCGTATTGCACCGCATCACCTGTCCAGCCGCTTGAACGCCTTTTCCACCGAGTCATGGAATTGCGGGTGGCGCGACACAAAGACCAGCCCTGCCAGGAACTGCATGGAGGGGTGGGAGGGAGGGGAAGAGCAGTGCACCTCACACCAGCGCATTGCACCGCATTGCCGTCCAAATCCAACCGCTTGAACGCCTTCCCCACCAAGTCGTGGAATCGAGGATGGCAGGTGAAAAAGACCAGCCCTGCCAGGAATTGCATGGGGGGAGAGAGGGCAGGAGGGATGGTGACAGCACAGGGAGACAAGAAAGGAAACCTGTTACACGAAGTCGTGAAATTGAGGATGACAAGGCACAATGATTCGGTTCGCTGGGACTTGCATGGGGAGAGAGGGGAAGAGGGAGGGGGGAGGGGGGGAGGTGATATCACAGGGAGACAAGAAAAGGAACCTGCTTCCCCGAGTTGAGGGATTGAGGATGGCGGGGGCAAAAAGATCACCCTGCTAGTACACCACCATGCCCCTGCACCTCACTGAACCGCATTCCACCGCAACAAACCTGACTGCACCGCACTGAACCCACCTCTCTGAAGTTGATCGTGTCGCCGCGCTCGTTGGTGTTGAAGAGCGTGCGAAAGGTTTGTGAGTCGGGAAGGCCCCCTTGCAGCCACCTCTGTACCCCACCATGCCTCTGCACCTCACTGCACCTCACAACACCATGCCACACCTCGCTACACCACGCTGCACCGCACTGCACCCACCTCTCTGAAGTTGATTGTGCCGCGCTCGTTGGTGTCGAGAAAGTCAAAGAGCATCTGAGAAGCCTCCGAATCGGGCAGTCCCAGCGCTGAGAGGAACCCGGGGTAGCTCACAGTGCCACTGGGAGGAAAGGGGGGTGGTGGAGGAAGAGGAGAGAAAGGGCGAGGAGAGGGTGAGAAGGATGGTGAGAAAGTCAAAGAGCATCTGAGAGGCCTCCGAATCGGGCAGACCCAAAGCCGACAGGAACCCGGGGTAGCTCACAGTGCCACTGCGGTGGAAAAAATAGGTTAAGGGGAAGAAGGGGGGACAGTGGGGAGGGTGTGGAGGGTGTGGAGGGCGAGAAATTTTCTGGGTCTGCTCCCAACATAAGGGGGAGCCGGGTTCCTCTCAGCGCTGGGCCATACGTTGAGAGCAGAGCCAACGCTGGGGGAAGCCGGGGTAGCTCACTCACAGTGCCACTGAGGGGTTTGGGAGGATAGATAGAGAAGATGGGGAAGTGCGAGCGTGGCAGGATGGGGGAAAGAGGGAGTGTTGAATGCAGACCCAGCGCTGAGAGGAACCCGGGATAGCTCACAGTGCCACTGGGGGGGGAAAAGGGGGAGGGGCGAGGGGGGAGGGGGGAGGAGGGAGTGTTGACAGCAAGCCCAGCGCTGAGAGGAGCCCGGGGTAGCTCACAGTGCCACTGGTGGGGGTGAGGGAAGATGGGGAAGTGAGGGGGGGGCAGGATGGGGGAGGAGGGAGTGTTGAGCCCAAAGCTGACACAGGAAACCCGGGATAGCTTACAGTGCCACTGAGGGGGTTAAAGAGGGGAAGGGGGAAGGTGTGGAGGACAGGGGACAGCGGGAGGGGGGGAAGGGAGGGAAGGGAAGGACGGGGAGAGGGACCAGGGTGATGAAGCAAACACAGAGCTGACAGGAACACGGGGTAGATCACAGTGCCACTGAGGGGAAAAGGGGGGAGGGGCGAGGGGGGAGGGGGGAGGAGGGAGTGTTGACAGCAATCCCAGCGCTGACAGGAACCCGGGGTAGCTCACAGTGCCACTGAGGGGGCTGATGAGGGCCATAAGAGATGAGATGAGAGATTGAGTGAGAGCGAGCGAGTGACAGAGTTAGAGGGAGCGAAAAGAAACAGCCCTCTCACCAGTGAATGAGAGAGAGTTTGTGCGTGCGAGAGTAGCAGCCCGCTCACCAGTGCCCAACATCCATGTTGTGGAATCGTCTGAGGAACTGCTTCGCCTCTCACATCCACCCGAAACAGCGGCTCCAGATGCCTGAACTTCCTCAAGGTTTCTACCTCCTCCTTTCAAAGAGTGGGAAAGAGTGCGCGAGCCAGTGAATGAGAGAGAGTTTGTGCGTGCGAGAGTAGCAGCCCGCTCACCAGTGCCCCACGTCCATGGCATGGAATCGTCTGAGGAACTGCTTTGCCTCCCTCACATCCACCCGAAACAGCGGCTCCAGCCGCCCTAACTCCACTCCACAGGGTTTCAACCCCCAAAACCCTACAAGAGAGTGAGAAAGAATGTCCACATTCGCCGTCCCCACCGGCAGCTTCAGCTTCTTTGCCTCAAGAGGGGGGGGTTCCTTCCTTCTTCCCCCACTTTCCAAAGAGTGTGAGAGAGTGAGAGAGTGGGCGAGGGAGTGAGTGAGTGAGTGAGTGAGTGAGGGAGTGAGGGAGTGAGAGGCAGAGAGCGAGGAAGAGGGAGGATGCTCACCAGTGCCCCACGTCCATGGCATGGAATCGTCTCAAATACTGCTTCGCCTCCCTCACATCCACCCGGAACAGCTGCTCCAGCCGCCCAAACTCCACGTTCGCCGTCCCCACCGGCAGCTTCAGCTTCTTTGCCTCGAGCGGGGGGGTCCTTCCTTCTTCCCCCTCCTTCCGAAGGTTGTGTGTGAGAGAGAGAGAGAGTGCGTGGGTGAGTGAGTGAGTGAGTGAGTGAGTGAGGGAGTGAGAGGCAGAGAGCGAGGAAGAGGGAGGATGCTCACCAGTGCCCCACGTCCATGGCATGGAATCGTCTCAAATACTGCTTCGCCTCCCTCACGTCCACCCGGAACAGCTGCTCCAGCCGCCCAAACTCCACGTTTGCCGTGCCCACCGGCAGCTTGAGCTTCTTCGCCTCGAGCGCCAGCAGTACGTTGCCAAAGGAGTGGTCGGTGAGGGCCAGGTTGAGGCGCCGCGCCATGGCCAGACGGACCCTCTCTGCGAACTTGCGTGCATCTCGCTTCTCCTCTTCTGTCGGCACAATTACCGGCAGATACTCCACCTGTGCAAGCGTGGGGTTGGGGTGAAGCAGCAGGGAATAGGTTTGCCTGCCTCCAGCAGCATTTTCCGGGTTTCAGATTGAGAGCGCCAGCAGCACGTTGCCGAAGGAATGGTCTGTGAGGGCCAGGTTGAGGCGCCGCGCCATGGCCAGACGGACCCTCTCTGCGAACTGCGTGCATCTCGCTTCTCCTCTTCCGTGGGAACAATCACCGGTAGATACTCCACCTGCTTGGGCGTGTGTGTGAGTGGGTGGGGTGTGGCGAGACAGGGGGGGAGGGGAGGGGGGAGAGCGAGGGAGAGCGAGGGAGGGAGACAAGGGGCATGTGGTGAAAAGGAGGCAGGTTGAGCTTCTTCGCCTCGAGCGCCAGTAGCACGTTGCCAAAGGAGTGGTCTGTGAGGGCCAGGTTGAGGCGCCGCGCCATGGCCAGACGGACCCTCTCGGCAAACTTGCGTGCATCCCTCTTCTCCTCTCTGTTTGGATGATCACTGGCAGATACTCCACCACTCACTCACTCCCTCACTCACTCTCTCCCTCACTCACTCCCTCTCTCACTCCCTCCCTCCCTCCCTCCCCCCTTCGCCCCACTCACGCGCATGCGGTTGTGAGGCTGGGACATGATGCGCCACAGCAGGGTCATATCGGGGAGCCCTTCGGCCACCCAGGAGGGGTCAAAGGACGTGTAGGGGTACGTCACCACCACCGCCTGCACCGGCAGGCCCGGCGCACACTCACTCCCTCTCTCCCTCTCTCCCTCACTCGCTCCCTCTCTCCCGCATTCACTCCCTCACTCCCTCATTCGTTCGCTCCCTCACTCGCTCCCTCCCTCCCTCCCTCCCTCCCTCCCTCCCTCCCTCACTCCCCCCTGCATCCACTCACGCGCATGCGGTTGTGAGGCTGGGACATGATGCGCCACAGCAGGGTCATATCGGGGAGCCCTTCGGCCACCCAGGAGGGGTCAAAGGACGTGTAGGGGTACGTCACCACCACCGCCTGCACCGGCAGGCCCGGCGCACACTCACTCCCTCTCTCCCTCTCTCCCTCACTCGCTCCCTCTCTCCCGCATTCACTCCCTCACTCCCTCATTCGTTCGCTCCCTCACTCGCTCCCTCCCTCCCTCCCTCCCTCCCTCCCTCCCTCCCTCACTCACTCCCCCCTGCATCCACTCACGCGCATGCGGTTGTGAGGCTGGGACATGATGCGCCACAGCAGGGTCATATCGGGGAGCCCTTCGGCCACCCAGGAGGGGTCAAACGACGTGTAGGGGTACGTCACCACCACCGCCTGCACCGCCAGGCCCGGAGCAAAGGCGCCCGTCTTGAAGGACACGAGCGAGCGGCCGTTGGTGGTGGTGGACTCGGGGAAGAGGAGAACTCGCGCCCAGTCGTTGCACATGGCGCGCTTCTTTATCTCGTATGATGCGTCCTTGCGCGACGTGGGGGACGCACGGTCAACTGTTATGGCCTGGTGGATGGAGGAGAGGAGAGGGGGATAGGAGAGGCGGATGGGAGCGGGAGGGAAGGGGATTTTTTAGTCGATTCAAAAATCACCCAGGAGCTTTAATGTCCCCGCTATAAGGATGTTCACATTCTCATTAGTAGTGATTGCCATCAGCAGGTGACCCATAAACTAAGCAGGCATACCAGTTCTCAAGTCGAGTAAAAAATTCCCCACCCACCCACTCCCACCCACGCACCTGAAGGGCCTTCATGATTGTCCCCGCTATAAAGATATTCATGTTCTCTTTAGCAGTGATGATCATCGGCAGGTGAGCCATGAACTGAACATACACCAATCATTGACTCGGCTCTAAAACCACCCTCTCACCCACACCCACCTGAAGGGCCTTCATGATTGTCCCCGCTATAAAGATATTCATGTTCTCTTTAGCCGTGATGATCATCGGCAGGTGAGCCATGAAGAGGAAGACGGGGTCAACGAATGTGACATGGTTGCACACGATAATGGGCGCCTCTGCCCTGGACGCGATCTTGCCTTTCACCTGAATACAGGGGTGGGGGTGGGGGTGGGAGAGGCGGGGTTGGGTTGGGGTGGGGGTGGGGGATAGACACAGTGAGAGCACGGTAGGTGAGGCATGAAGAGGAACACGGGTCGACAAAGGTCACGTGGTTGCACACGATAATGGGCGCCTCTGCCCTGGACGCGACCTTGCCTTTGACCTGTTTAAAAGGGTAGGGTTGGAGGTGGGTGGGGGTTGGTTGGGGTGGGGGTGGGGGTGGGGGTGGGGGTGGGGGTGGGGTTGAGACAGTGGCAAGTATGGCAGGTAAAATGTGAGCCATGAAGAGGTAAACGGGGTGCAAACCACCTCACTCACCTCAATCCAGTTGTATCCGCAGGCGAGGAGAACGCCACGTGTCAGCAGCTTAGCGGGCCACAGGATGTTCCTCCTCCACTTGGGGAAGGGCCTGCAGAGGCGATAGGGACGGGGGGAGGAGAGAGAGGGGAGATGGAGACGGGAATAGGGGGAGAGAGAGGGGAGATGGAGACGGGAAGAGGGGGAGAGAGAGGGGAGATGGAGACGGGAAGAGGGGGAGAGAGAGGGGAGATGGCCACAGGATGTTCCTCCTCCACTTGGGGAAGGGCCTGTGGGGCAAGGGCGACGGGAAGAGGGGAGAGGGTGGGATGAGGAAGGGGAGACAAAGAAGAGGAAAAATTAGGATGTTCCTCCTCCACTTGGGGAATGGCCTGCTGCAGAGTCGACAGGGAAGTGGGGAGGAGAGACGTTGAGTGAAATTAAATGCCCCTTGAAATTGTGAAACAAATCAAGAGTCAACTCAAAAATCGCCTCGGAATTGGGAAGAATTCGGGTATTTTCCCGCTGTATGATAGAGCAGCAACCCACCCCCCCCCCCCCCCAACCCCTTGAATGAGCCAATCGAGACAACTTTTACCAGACTCGGAGAAAAGACACCGCAAGAAGAAGAGAACAATATCTCCGCAAAACTAGAGCATTCATCCGCCACAGGGGTAATGGGGGAACGGAGCACCCCACCCCCTCTTCCCACTCCCCAATTGCGCCTAAAGAGAAAAAAGGCACCGCAAGAGGCGGAAGCACGAGCCACGCATTGTCGCTGGTCTCGATATGCAGCGAAGCTTTTTAGCGGCGTTAAAGGGGTAATCGACTGTTCCAACCGCTATAGTTCTATTTGAAAAGGCGCCTCAGCGTTTTACTCCATCACTCCACCCAGTCCCCACGAACGACAAACGGGACACCGGCATCTGTCTTTGCGGGAACGATAATGATCAGCAAAGAGATGAGCGATCATGCGACGTGATAATTAAATAGCTTAGAGTAAGCAATAAGCAAAGGGATAAGTAGTCAGCTCAGCAATCATGTACCCAATCAGCAAAATGCGAGGAGGAGTCAGGGAAATTACTTGGTGTGGATGTGCTTCGCGCCAATAAGCGCGAGACGCGCGAAGAGGTATCCGAAGATAAAGCAGACGAACATGAGCACCGCGCGAGCGAGGAACACGGGGAACATGAGCGTGAGCTTAACGATCTCGTAGGGCGTATCGATCGGCGCGCTGTGGTTGACGAACGGATTGAACGGCTCGTCCGGCTGCCTCGGCGGAGCGCCGAACGGCAGCTTCTCGTACGACCGCTTCTTGCTCGCCATTGCGTAGTTTCCGGGTAACAAAGCTCTTCGCGATGGACGCCGTTAAAGAAGCAGGTAAATCCAGAAATAGCCTCGCACCTCTAGAGGAATTCCGACTGCCTACTTCTAGAAATTCCTGCTCAAATCAAGGAGTCTTCATTCCACAAAATAACAAACTAGGCAAGTCAGAACTAGCAGTGAAATGGATTAGGAGGATCAGGAACAGGGAGGTTGCAGCTTGTTAGTCAGTCTGGCCTGCAAAAAATGTCACACCATAGTAAAACTCGCAGATGATTTTCAAGCGTTAAGTTACGGTTGCGCTAGTTTCCAGAACGTTTTGTGCATATACGCGTCGGTGTACGCCCCATTTCGAAACACTCATTCCGCACTTCCGCACAGCTGCTCCGCCAAGGCGCTTGTCCGCGGTGTTGTTACGCCCAATGGCTTTCCCCCTTGCGGGTCCGCCGTGCCGCAGATTCGGGATCTCGCGGCTGGTCCGCACACCTTGGGAACTCCGCATGCCGTTCAATGGCAGCAATCGCCCGCCAATCGCACTCGACGGGGCAAGAGTGGAGAACGGCAATCAGGCCAGCCTCCAATAAGTAGCACATTATTGGGACTACACTGCGTTACAGCTATGCGAAGTCAATGGAAATGTTGCATTAATATGACAATCCTTTGTGCAACATAAGCAAGCTTGATAAATATCCAAACCTTTACATGGAACCACCTTCATTATAGATTATGAATCTTCTTGTTGGTCACCCGCATTGGGCATCATCTCAACCTGAACATCATCAGACACACAATTGGAAAACAAATCATGGGAAGGAGATCTGGGCATCCATTCGCACAGGGATGCATCCTCCAAAGTGGGAAACATAACAGCACGGTGTAACGACGATTCAATCACATACACCGCATGCACCACATATCGAATCGCTGCAATCCACCTGCTGAACCGGCTTGCAGGCGCAGGCTCTTGGATCTCCACAAACGTAGGAACGAATGGCAGGCGAGCAGCCAATGATGGGCGAGACGACGGTGAGGGAGAGGAGGCAAGCCGGGAAACCGCCTCCTCTGTGGAAACATGTTGCCATGTGCTTGCCTCATGCATGAGGACTCGGAACTGGTTGGGGTAGAAAGGAGGAGAGAGGGAGGGAGGGATCAGGTGACTGCCATGTACCTGCCTCATGCATGAGGACTCGGAACTGGTTGGGGTAGAAAGGAGGAGAGAGGGAGGGAGGGATCAGGTGACTGGCATGTACCTGCCTCATGCATGAGGACTCGGAACTGGTTGGGGTAGAAAGGAGGAGAGAGGGAGGGAGGGATCAGGTGACTGGCCTGTACCTGCCTCATGCATGAGGACTCGGAACTGGTTGGGGTAGAAAGGAGGAGAGAGGGAGGGAGGGATCAGGTGACTGGCATGTACCTGCCTCATGTATGAGGACTCGGAACTGGTTGGGGTAGAAAGGAGGAGAGAGGGAGGGAGGGATCAGGTGACTGGCATGTACCTGCCTCATGCATGAGGACTCGGAACTGGTTGGGGTAGAAAGGAGGAGAGAGGGAGGGAGGGATCACGTGACTGGCATGTACCTGCCTCATGCATGAGGACTCGGAACTGGTTGGGGTAGAAAGGAGGAGAGAGGGAGGGAGGGATCAGGTGACTGGCATGTACCTGCCTCATGTATGAGGACTCGGAACTGGTTGGGGTAGAAAGGAGGAGAGAGGGAGGGAGGGATCAGGTGACTGGCATGTACCTGCCTCATGCATGAGGACTCGGAACTGGTTGGGGTAGAAAGGAGGAGAGAGGGAGGGAGGGATCAGGTGACTGGCATGTGCCTGCCTCATGCATGAGGACTAGGAACTGGTTGGGGTAGAAAGGAGGAGAGAGGGAGGGAGGGATCAGGTGACTGGCCTGTACCTGCCTCATGCATGAGGACTCGGAACTGGTTGGGGTAGAAAGGAGGAGAGAGGGAGGGAGGGATCAGGTGACTGGCATGTACCTGCCTCATGTATGAGGACTCGGAACTGGTTGGGGTAGAAAGGAGGAGAGAGGGAGGGAGGGATCAGGTGACTGGCATGTACCTGCCTCATGCATGAGGACTCGGAACTGGTTGGGGTAGAAAGGAGGAGAGAGGGAGGGAGGGATCAGGTGACTGGCATGTGCCTGCCTCATGCATGAGGACTAGGAACTGGTTGGGGTAGAAAGGAGGAGAGAGGGAGGGAGGGATCAGGTGACTGGCCTGTACCTGCCTCATGCATGAGGACTCGGAACTGGTTGGGGTAGAAAGGAGGAGAGAGGGAGGGAGGGATCAGGTGACTGGCGTGTACCTGCCTCATGCATGAGGACTCGGAACTGGTTGGGGTAGAAAGGAGGAGAGAGGGAGGGAGGGATCAGGTGACTGGCATGTACCTGCCTCATGCATGAGGACTCGGAACTGGTTGGGGTAGAAAGGAGGAGAGAGGGAGGGAGGGATCAGGTGACTGGCCTGTACCTGCCTCATGCATGAGGACTCGGAACTGGTTGGGGTAGAAAGAGGAGAGAGGGAGGGAGGGATCAGGTGACTGGCATGTACCTGCCTCATGTATGAGGACTCGGAACTGGTTGGGGTAGAAAGGAGGAGAGAGGGAGGGAGGGATCAGGTGACTGGCATGTGCCTGCCTCATGCATGAGGACTCGGAACTGGGTGGGATAAAGAAGAGGGGCGTGGGAGAGAAATGGATGAGTGGAGAGTGGGGCGCAAGTCGGGAAACCGCCTAACATGCTGCCATGTGCCTGCCTCATCTCATGCATAGGAACTCAGAACTGGGTGGGGAAGAGAGGAGGAAAGAGGGAAAGAGGGAGGAACCAGGTGATTACCATGTGCCTGCCTCATCTCATGCATAGGAACTCAGAACTGGGTGGGGAAGAGAGGAGGAGAGATGGAAGTTCTATATCAATGAAAGGACCATTGGAGGGAGGGATCAGGTGACTGCCATGTGCCTGCTTCATGCATAGGAACTCGGAACTGGGTGGGGTAGAGAGGAGGAGCGAAGGAGAGTATGGGTGAGAGGAAGTGCGGGTGAGAAGAAGCAAGGGCTGCTAGGTCAAGGGGATGGAGTCAGGAGAGGCAGCGTCTGGGAAAGGCTGTGCCTTGGGAAGAGTACCTGGGATGGTTGCAAGAGAGTCGAGGTGACTCTTAAGTCGACTCAAAAGTCACCTTGGCAAGAGGATGGCATCAGGAGAGGCCGTGCCTTGGGAAGAGTACCTGGGATGGTTGCAGGGATAGCACCTGGCAGGTCGTACCTGGGATGGTTGCAAGAGAGTTGAGCCTCGTGCAAGTGGTGTCATTCTGATGAGCGACTGGTGATCAAACACTGGCTTCACAGGGAACGCTGCTGCTGCTGCTGCTGCTGCTGCTGCTGCGCTTGCTGCTTCAGTGGCAGCAGCAGGAGGAGGTATGGCAGCAGCAGGAGTGGCATCAGCAGGAGTGGCAGAATTAATAGCAGCAGCAGCGGCAGTGGCAGCAGCACTGGGTGAAGCAGCGGTTGAGAGTGGGAGAGGGAGGGGAGACGCGACCGAATGCACCTGCAAGGGGGGCAAGGGTGAGGAGGAGGAGAGGAGCAACAGGATATGGGGGAAGAGGGCAGGGTGGGGGGAACACAAGCAGCACTGGCTGTAGCAGCAGTGGCTGTAGCAGGGATTGAGTTGAGAGAGGGAGAGAGAGGAGGGGAGACACGAACAGATGTATCTGCAAGAGTGAGGAGGAGGAGTGATGCAAGGCAAGGAGGAGGGGACGTCAGTGATCACTACTGCACTCATCTCCTTACATCCTAAGAGGGGGCCTGGAACTCACCTGAGACTTGAGCGAGGAGTCAAAGAGCGCACTGAAGCACAGACGCCCAGCTGGGGGTGAACCCACTCACACTGATCGGTGGGCTCAGAACTGCACTCACCTCCCTACACATCCTAAGGGGGCGTCAGACCTCACCTGGGACTTGAGCGAGGAGTCAAAGAGCGCACTGAAGCACAGACGCCCAGCTGGGGGTATACCCATTCACACTGATAGCTCCGGAACTCCTCCCTCCACACCCTACAGTTGCCGCTGCTGCTCCCCCTCCTCCCCCTTCTCCTCTTCCCGCTCCTCTTTCTGCTCCTCGTTCCACTGTTGGTCCTGCCTGACAGCCGCATTGGGAATTCTTCTCATTCTTCGCCCCACCCTCATGCACCCCATGTGGCTTCTCCTGCCCCTTCGCCTGCCCCTTCGCCTGCCCCTTCGCCTGCCCCTTCGCCTGCCCCTTCGCCTGCCCCTTCGCCTGCCCCTTCGCCTGCCCCTCGCCTCCCCCCACCTCATTCCTATCCCCGTTACAGAGAGCCTCGCATCCCTCTACAGGGACTGCGAGCAGAGGTCGTTTCAGCGCCAACGATTGGTCCATCACTGCCCGGATCGAGACGGGCAGGCAGCAAAGATTTTCAGCTGCCCGAGAAGCAGCTGCTGGCGGTAATTCGGTTGTAGCAGCTACGTCAGCTGTAGCGGCTACAGCAGCTGTAGCGGCTGCATCAGTTGTAGCGGCTGCATCAGGAATGCTGGTGGGAGACAGGATTTGCCCGGAGTGCGGGTCAAAGAGAGTTGTTAACACATCATTCTGTGTTGACGAGCCGGCTGACGTGGCGGATTTTGATTGGTCCGTGAGTGCCTGCGGGCGGGAGTTTAAAAAAAAAAAAAAGGCAAACGAAGACAGAAAAGGAAAAAAAAAGGCTGTTGTGCAAGGAGGAGTGAATAGTACAAACTAAACTTGCTAGTAACTGACCGAGGGCTTAACATTTCTGTTGTTTAGTGGAGGATTCGATCGCAGCAAGCCAACTGGAAGAAACAACCTGCAACAAAAAGGGTTTGATAAGCCTCAAAACTAGACTTGATAGTAATCGACCAAGAGCTCAACAGAACAGGACTTGTAAACGAAGATCAATTGACCTCTCAATCAATGCCTGCAAGGTCGTGTTTTGAGTCGAGACAAAACACGACTCGTTACACGCGGATCAACCGACCTCCCCCTATCAACACCTGCAGGGCGAGGAAGGCCGGCGGCAGGCTGCCGTCTCAGAGCAGGGCGAGTGCAGGTGACTCAAGTCACCTTGTGGCAGGGCGAGTACAGGTGACTCAAGTCACCTTGTGGCAGGGCGAAAAGTGCACCTACCACCAACGCAACAACCCAAGTGATATTACCTGCAGGGCGAGCAGGGCGGGCAGGCTGCCGTCCCAGAGCAGGGCGAGTGCAGGCGAGGAGGGAGCAGGGCCCTTGGTGGGCGCGAGCAGCATGGGCTCCTGTGCGAGAGAGGGGTTGTAAGGGGTGATGAATGGAGGGTGTCAAAGGAAAGTGAGTGGGGGGTTGCATGAGCCAGAGCAGGCGATGAGAGCAGGCAGACTGCCGTCCCACAGCAGGGCGAGTGCAGGCGAGGAGGGAGTAGGGCCCTTCGAGCAGCATGGGCTCCTGTGCGAGGAGGGGTTGTGAGGGGTGATGAATGGTGACAGAGGGTGAGAGAGGGAGAGAGAGGGTGCTAAAGAGTGAGTGGCAGATTGGGTGAGCCAGTGCAGGCGAGCAGGGCGGGAAGACTGCTTTCCCCGAGCAGGGTCTAGTGCAGAGAGTAGTGAGTGCATCGAGCATAGGGAGCTGATAGATTTGACAGTTACCGGGTTACTACAGCAAACAACTCACCGTGAGCGAGTTGGTTCGTGACATGAAGGCGTTGGTGCGCACAGCATAGTGACCGGAGGGATGTTACCAGGTAACCACCGTAACAGTCTACTCACAGTGAGAGAGTTGGTCCATGACATGAATGCATGCGCTGGTGCGCACAACATTGTTGGCGAACCGACGTTACCACGTAACCACCGCAACAGTTGACTCACTGTGAGCGAGTTGGTTTGTGACATGAAGGCATTGGTGCGCACAGCATACTGAGCAATTGATTTGACGGTTACCTGGTAACTGGAGCGAACAGTTGACTCACTGTGAGCGAGCTGGTTCGTGACATGAATGCGTTGGTGCGCACGGCGTAGTGACCAAAGGGGCAGTGCCTGGTGGCAAAGGGAGAGGGACGGACGGACGGCGGGAAAATGGGGGGAAAGGGAGGGAAAGCGGGATGGTGCGCACGGCGTAGTGACCGAACGGTCAGTGCCTGGTGGCAAAGGGAGAGGATGAAGAGGGACAGACGCAGAATAAGATCCAACCGTACCGTGCCGCCACTAGATGCAACAGAATGTCAGGCAAAAAAACAGGCAGTATCAGATTCACGCACGCGCACCTGCATTTATTGCCGCAGCAGCGGCCAGGTTTGAGGAGAGCCGGCGCCGTGAAGACTGAATAGCCTGTCAGGAGAGCCGGGAACAGGGAACCAAGCACTCAGCAGAAACGGGACACGGGACACGGGACACGGTGAACGGGGAACGGCCTTGAGGAGAGCCGGCGCTGTGAACACTGAATAGCCTATCAGGGGAGACAGGGGCCCGGGGCACGGAGCACGGAGGACGACTGGATAGGGAGCACCGGAACACGAAACACGGGGACATGGGACAGGTGGAGATATAAAGCGCCGAGCCCAACGTCGAAAGGGAGACTGAAGGGAGACATGAGTCTTACCCGTTTCAGGGTCGGTCTAGGTGGAATTTCCCACTCGGCAAGGCGTGTGGTGAGCCTCGTCCGCTTCTACTCCCGGATCCACGTCGTCAACGCGAACTCATCGTCGAAACGAGACGATGCTCACCTGTTTCAGGGTCGGTGTAGGTGGAATCCCTCGCCGCGCACGCCGCGCGATGCGCCTCCTCCACGTCGACCCCCAGATCCACGCCCCACACGCCACCTCCTCCAAGAATCTCCTCCGAGGAGGAGGAGGAACGGCATGAGGGTGAGTCGCCCTCATACCTCTCCTCTGGCTTTGCCGACATGAGAACGGATCCTGAACCGAAGCAAGGAATTTTGGGCGATCGGCGGGCCGATCCGCGATGTAAGTTCGAGCCACGAGGGAGAAAACGACAAGCTGATCAATGAACTGCCGGACGGTGTCGATCAGCTGCAACTGGATCGACGGCCAGATGCGGCTATGGCAAAATTAATGGAGATTCGAATCATCCGCTTAGTTCTTCCACGATGCTGGGAAGGTTGTTTTCAATGTTGCCTTGCCGCGGTATAAGGTCGGTAGCGGTTTGTACATTCTGGCTGGATTTCTTGTTTTACGGTTAATGGAAAATATAAAACACGTTAAGGAATATGTTTAACAGGATAATAATAATGTTCAGTCTGATTATTCACCAGGGATAATGAATTTAATGGGAAAGGGAGTTAAATTACATACATGACATGGATCTCATTGTAGTGCTGGAGAAGTATGCCTCATCTGTATGGAAAAGTTGGCTTCTTACTAGTTTCTTCACTCAAAACAGGTCCCTAAATAGATACCTTGTGGTTCGTCACCGTTTAGCGAAGGTCTCATTAGCGCAGCATTGTCCCTCATAGCGACCACCAACAGTCCTTCATTGGAAAAAATGATGGTAACAGAGGCCAACCAGGAGCAATAGCAGTAGAATAATAGCCAATCAACAACGCGGTTCTTGACGGTTTGTCAGCCACGTGGGAAAAATACTGGACTTGACATCTAGGGTTTGAAGCTCGAATCTAGCAACAGGTCTGCAATCCTGCCCAGCTTTTTACACCTGCCGCCCAGGGTTTGGACACCTACACGACAAACCTCGAGTCGAGGTGGTGGGGGGGTGGTTTTGGCAGACTCCCTCCCTCTTTTCCCTCTCCCTCGATCTGCACAACCCGCAAAACCCTAGGAGGTGTCGCTCTTACACTTCAATACGGTGGAATGCTCTCCCTTGCTTCTTAGTACGATTCGAATTTATTTAAGACGTTTGGGTAGGGTTCGAGTGAAAAGCCAATGCTGGACATGCTGCTGCTATGCTGGAAGGGGTTGGTTGGTACACATCTTCCTGCAGAAGGCAGCAACATCGCTGCAATCAACACCACCAGCAGCAACATTTCCTCCACATGGAGAGCTCCACATGGGTTTTCATTTGAGCCCAGCAGACCTACAGAGGTTCTCTCATGAACTTGGCTTCAGATTCCAGCCTGTCGGGATCGGCTTGCTTTATGCTTCTCCTTGTCTGGTTTTGTTAGAGCGGACCGCTGCCTAGTATTACGTGACTTACCGTTCCGGACAGTTCAACGCGAGGGTTATAATGTCAGCAGGGGCATCGCCATAATTGTTTGTGTTGACGTAGGTTTTCAACGTTGCATATTTTAAAGATGGCCTTGACGCAGTTGCATTAGAGCGGAGCTTTGTTAATCTAGGAAGGAGCAAGATCCCTCATAGACCTTTGAGGTACGGTATGCCGTGTTTTTACGTTTTACGATCCTTTCTCGGCCGCTCTTTCCTCTCAAATCTAAGCTCTTCGAGTTTAATTTGTTTTCTCTAGTATCGTCGTTTCTTTGCCTCTGTGCTCCCATCTCTCGTCGTGAAATGTCGTCGTTATTTGTTCAACCTTTTTCATTATTTGTTTTCGTAACGCGTCTTGCAGGATTACCGTTTTGACCTTCTTACCTTATTATTGTCATCTATTGTCTCGGGTGGTGCTTGTAATGGACGAAGTCTGGCCAGCGTCACGCTTCTTCAGCGACGGCTGTAGTTCCTTGTACGAGAGATCTGTCTTCGAGGGTCAAACATTAAGGCATTTTCAGCAACAGCAGCAGCTGAAGCAGGAGCCGCAACAGCAATCACTGCAGCAGGCGTTGGAATTAATGCACTCTACGAACCAGCCGTATCAGCCATTGGCTCAGCTGCAGCAGCTTCAGCTGCAGCAGCAGCTACTGCAGCACCAGCAGCAACAACAGCACCAATATCAAGAGCCGCACATCTTGCCCTCTTGCCATCCGCATCATCCAACCGAGGACAGTTTTTCATCGCATTCCCTTTTTGAGGAGGCTGTATTGAAAGATTCTCACATGCTTCCAGCATCATCGGAAATGTCCACGTTCCCTTTGGCTCAGTCTCGGCAAATAATGCCTGGCTTAGAACCTTCCGGATTGAATTCCTCAGGCAGGTTCGACTCCTCTGGACGATTCTCCACCTCCGTAGGCTACGATCCTTCTGACAGGCTTGAATCGTCTGGCAGATTTGAGTTAACATCGCGGCAGCTAGATTCTCCAGTCGAAAATGGAATCGCTGCGTACGATGCATTTGAGTGTTCAGGCGGAGCGTCCGAGAATCCGCTTCCGCCTCTACAGGGATCGCATGAGGCTGTTCTGCCTGACCGTGCACATCTTATGATGATCGACATTGAGGACTTTTGTTGGGTTAACGAGGATTACTGTGTTAGGTAAGTCGTTGTGGCTTTTACGCGATTAGTAAGCTGTTGCGTATGCATGTCCTCGTTTCTTAACATTTCCGTTCACGTTTCGCGGTTGATCTTCTCTCATTTATATCTATCCCTGCCATTCTCGTCTTTGACCCATCCTCTCTGCTCTTCCTTGCAGAGTATACATTCCTTTTCCAGGAGTCCACGCCTTTACCCCCTCGTACATAACGTCTTCATTCACTAATAGCTCTTTCTGCTTGTTGATAAGGGGCCTTCCCGATGGTGTATGCTACCGACTTGCACTCGACAGGTATTTTTGTCTATCTGCTTGTCTTGAAATGTTCCATCGCTTTGTGTGCACATCTGATGCCCCAGAGTCTTGTATTTGTTCGCAAATTCTGTATGGTATATGAATGTTTCGAGTCAATAACCTACCTGATTGTTCTTGTTTCCCCTACATCCCACTGGCTTGGCCTGCAGTCTTTATGGGGAGATCCAGCCGAACCTGTGCTGTCACAATGTGCACAAAGATAAGATTGAGATGACTTTATCAAAGGTAACATCAGGCCCCTCTGATGCACCTGACACTGACATCTTCACATGGTTTAGCCTTCGATTATAAGACTACATCAGGATTAAGCCAGTCCATTGTTTATGGTTATCTAATGGATGTTGTGTACAAATTTTAACTAATTAGAGCCTGCCTCGTCTTCAACCTGCAAGATTTAGGGTGAGGGTGGAATTGTTCTTTTCGGCAATATACGGAACCTAGCCTGACTGTTAGTACCGGTGCGGTACACTGTCAATTCTTCGCTAGTAGACAAGCATAATGCATCAATTCATCAACATGTATATTCACAAATTCTACCCCAATGAAATCTGCCCCATCCCGATTCACTCTCCGCCATGGATATTGTCAGGCTACTTTAACTGGACCAATGTCTATCAATTTCTTACCAGATACTAGTTTTAATAACGGATTTGGATTCTACATGACAAGAGGAACACAAAGATACTAATTTTGTGCTCAAATGGAGAGCATGGTATTCTATGGTTATTTGTCAGGCTACCATTTCCCGCCGTTGACAGTTTCTAGGTTTGATTGTCAGGCTTGCGTCTCGAGGTTGACTTGTCCAGCGCAGTGCATTACCAAGGTTCAAGCTAAGGTTTCATCTCGGAATCCAACTATCAAGGGTCGCAATTCTACCAAGAGCAGAACTCCCAAGAAAAAGCAACCAAGGAAAAAGGCGAGACCTAAACGACGGGCTTATAAGAATTCGGTGCTCAGAACTAGCCAGTGAGGTCCAGCGGGACCTTTTCCATCACGATTTCCTGGCTTCAACTTTGGCAGTTGTCATCACTGCACCATGCCGCGCCAGCCGAAGAAAGCTGCTCAGCCAGTGAGCAAACCCACGGACAATGGAGTTCGCGAGTCCAAGAGTCACCATTCGGAGCCAGCGACGCCTCGTCCGATGCTGAAGGAAGTGGGAGGCCCTTTCGCGGATGACACGCACATCTCGCTGGTGAAGAAGTTGAATGATTTGAAGTTCTCGTCCCTGGAGGATCGCACTGCGGAGGGGTCTACCGATACAGGGGAGGAGAAGAAGAACACGGATGAGGTGTCGTCCCTGGCCGTAGCTCCAGAGGTTCCTGCTGAAGGGGAAGAAGAAGAGGAGGATGAGGATGACGGGTATCTCAGCGATGACCCGGAGGAACGTTTTGACCCTGTGAAGGCGGGGGAGATCGTTGCGCGTGCCGGCTTCTCAATCACGCTGCTAATCCCGATCAAGTACGAAGAGGAGGTGGAGCGGACTATTGACACGGTTAAGGGTCTGCTGGCGCTGTGGAGAAAGTATATGTCGGCGCATGTGCTGACAACGACGAAGTGTCAAGTGCTCTTACCGGCGTGGTTGTCAAAGAAGCGTTACGGACGGCTGCAAGTTACTTTCCAGCAGGCGTCGGACGCGAACTACGCGTGGTGCCGCAGGGTTGAGCACAAGATGTTGAACGGTGTAGGCATCACCCTTGACTGGCAGCACCCGGAAAACCCGCTGTACATCATGGAACGCGCGACGCACCCAGACTCGGTTGAAGTGCTCTTAAAGAGTGTGCCTGCCGCCATAACGCCGGAGATGGTTTATGAGTACCTGGTGACGGCGGTGCTGGAGAAGCGTGGCAGAACCCCTTTCTTGAGCGGTTCGGCTTTCCACCGGGTGGTTGATCCGGTTACTGGTGCGGACACAGACAAGATCAGGGGTTTGGTCAAAGGCCACCCGGGGGATAAGTATCGCTGGTGGCACTTGCTGACTGACTCGGTGCATCACAGGCAGCTTCTTGTCCATTTTCCATCGCTTTCCTGTGATTTCTGCAACGGCATGCACATGACAAAGTTCCATGATGATTATGTTACGGAGCGTCAGGAGAATATCGGAAAGTGGAATCTGACGCTGGAGCAACTACATGCGATTAATGGTAACAAGTGGTGCTCTAACCTTGTTTTTCAGGCTGTTGGGGTCCCGCTCGGGTTCGCTGACAGCCGCATCGCTTCCTGCGTGAGCAGCTGCGTCCCTTCCACTCGACGCTTGTGTGAAGAAGATTCTGCGCGACCCTGCTTTGGTGCTGATCTCCACGGGGGGAAGCCGGGAAGACTGGCTGTGTGTCCAGGAGGCGTGTGGGAAGGTGCACGGCTCCAATTTCTCCCAGGCGGTGGTGCATGTGAAGTCGGTCCAGCACTGCACCGCGCTTCTGCAAGGGGGTTCGGCAAGCAGGAGAAGCCGGGGGAAGATGAACTTGATCCCGGTCCGCAAGGAGTTTGGGCTGCAGAAGTGAAGTGCGTGTTTCCAGGCAGGAGTGTCAGAGGCGGTGAAGGAAATAAAGCACGGTGGAGCAATAAAGGATGGGTACGGAAGGAGTGTGGTGCGGTACCTGGTACGCAAGAGCAGTTGTTGGTAGGAGTGGTGTCTCTGTCTCAACCCCGTGGATGCGAGGGGGTCTTTTACCAGTGGATTAATGGATAACAACCGCAATCTCACACTGTGCGAGGTCAATGTCAACGGCCTCGGAAGTAACGGCAAAAGAACGGAGCATGCACATTGGATTAAAACAGCGGCATATGTCGTCGTGCTCACAGACACAAGGATAGGAGAAGATCATAACTTCTGGACCCAGCTGAAACTGTCATCAGCGGCGGTGGTGGGAAATAGCGAAAGAGCAGGTGGGGTTGTGGTATTAGCCTTCAATGAAGAGATCAAGCTCACGGACGTAATCACTCATCAATCAGGGAGACTGGTAGGGGTCACAGTGGAGTACTCACAGATCTCTTTCAGGCTGGTGGCGATGTACCTTCCGGCGCAAGCGTGTGCCAGGGGGGTGTTTTTTCGGAGCTGTCTTGCGCAGTTCGTCGATGCACAGCCGCCGTCGAATCACCTAGTAGTGATGGGGGATCTGAACTTGGTAGAGGATCCGGACCTGGACCGGACGTCACGATCGGGCTCGGGCAATGAGAATCAGAGACTTCTGAGCTTCTGGCGGACGGCGGACCTCAGGGATGCCTTCCGAGCACTGCACCCAACCAGACCGGAATACACCTTCCGAGACAGGGCGACTGGGGCGAGCACGCGCATCGACAGGGGGTTGGTCTCCTTCTCGCTGCTGGGGTTGCTGGCGGAGGCGAAGCACGTTAAGGTACCAAGGAGCTTGACTGATCACTGGTTTGGGATTAAGGTCGGGCTGGCGGTTACCGCGCCGGTAGAGCAGGGTCCGAGTCTGTGGAGGTTGCAGGCGAGGCAGGCACAACGGAGAGGGGTTAGTACAGTGACTGCAAACATCCTGAGGAAGCTGGAAAAAGAGGAAGGGGTCGACCTGGGGAAGAAGCTGAAGTTACTCGGTGTCGGCCTTCGGGAGTATACGAGAGAGGAAAGAAAGAGGGTGAAAGCAGCAGTTACTCATCTTGAGCGGGTGGTCGAGCTCCTTCGGCACAAGGTGATGAGACACCCGGGTGACAAAAGGGCGCAGAACAGGCTGGTCTGTAAGGAGGCGCATCTGGAGGCCTACCTGCGGAGCAGCAGAGACAGACTGCAGGTGCTGGCGGGCATCCGGGTGGAGCTGAACGGGGAGGTCCCGTCACCCTACCTGTCGGCGAAGATCAAGATGCAGAAAAAACGAACGTCGATACAAGAAATCACGCATGGGGGAAGGACCTTCCGAGGGACCAAGGAGGTGCTGCGAGCGGCGGCGGATCATTTTAGGACTGCCTTCAGGGAGGTGGTGCCGGAGGAGGAAGTAGACTGGGGAAGGTTCTCGGAGGGAGCAAGGATGTCGCCCGCGGATGCGGACATGTTAGGCGCTGACTGGACAGAAGCGGAGGTCAAAGAGGGTTTGGAGAGCCTGCCGAAGGGGAAGTCCCCTGGGCAAGACGGTCTCCCGGCGGAATTTTTCATCCTGCATTGGGATCTGCTCAAGGAACACGTGATGGAGTTCATTAGAGATTTCACGGACACGGCGAGGATGTCGGAAGGAATATCAACGGCTGTAACGGTGCTGCTGCATAAAAAAGGACCGGTGGACAATCTGGGTAATTACAGGCCTATCACTCTGCTATCGGTCATGTACAAGCTCGTCACCAAAATCATGGCTTCAAGGTTAAAGAAGGTGCTGGGCAAGGTGTTGTCTAAGGAGCAGCATGGGTTCTTACCTGGAAAAAGCTTGGCTGACGCAGTGTCGGTGGTTGCGGAAGCGGTGGAGGTGGCGAACGGTGGTGGAAAAGACTGGTTGCTGCTGCTCGTCGACTTCCAGAAAGCTTATGACACGGTATCGCGGGAGTACTTGTTCAGGGTTATGAAGGAGCTTGGTTTCCCGGACAGGTTCATCGGCTGGACCAAGGGCCTGCATGCAGGAGCAGGTACAAGGGTGATTGTCAACGGGTGGTTAAGCGACAAAGTGGAGATGGACAGAGGGGTCAGGCAGGGGTGCCCTCTGGCGCCTTACTTATTCCTGTGTGCGCTGGAGCCGCTTTGCAGAGAGACACTGCGCAGAGGCTTGGGGGTGGGCCCGCCTGGTGAGACACCGATCTCCTATGTGGGCTATGCGGATGACACATCTTTCCTGCTGGAAGGGGAGGAACAACTGCGGAAGGTGGTGGGGGTGTTAGACACTTTCGGCAAACAGTCGGGTTTGAAGGTGAATTGCGACAAGTCCGTGGTGGTACCGTTGGGGTGTAACAGAGGCACCACGGCACCGACAGGCATACCATACAAGTGGTCGGAGAGGGGCGAGCCGGAACGCCTCTTGGGTGTGTGGATAACGCCAAGTGGGGACGCTAGCCCGTCCTGGGAGAGGGCTTATGAGAGGATAAAGGAGGAGCTTAAAAAGTGGGAGTCGCAGTACCTCACGACGACGGCGAGGGTAGCGGTTATCAGCTGCTATGTCCTTCCGGTGCTAATGTTTCAGGCGCAGGTGTATTCGCCGCCAGACGAGCTGTGGGAGAGGATAAGAAAGCTCTGTCACGCCTTCGTCTCGGCGGGGGAGGCAGTGGAGGAAAAGGTTTTCATCCTCTGGAGTGCATATCTGGCTTGCCTCCCGCGGAAAGATGGGGGATTGGGCCAGCTGGATCCGAAACTCTGCCTCGACGGGTTGGCAATCCGCAGAATAGGCAAGCTTCTGGGTGAACAGGATGGAGCGCGACGGTGGTTGGCGGAGAAGGCGGCGAGTTTCCCACAAGGGTGGGCGACGCTTCACGCACATCCGTCTGCGATTAAACAGTGGGAGCATGGGAGTGAGAGATGGAAGGCGGCGGTCAAAGTCTTCTGGAAGTCGCCTCTTGCGTCCCTGCCGGAACCTGCGAGTAGATGGGAGGTGGAGGGTCAGTTCATCTGTTTCAACCGGCACATCATGCACAGAGGAAATAGCCCCTTCGGTCACCAGTTGGGAACGGAGAGTCTCCTCTGCACGCGGTTACGCGACTTGCTTACCGACGGCTTGAGGGGTAGCAGGGTGCTGAAGGATGAAGCGTTACTAACGGTGGAGCTGGGATCCAAGGAGGCGGCGGTCATGGCACGCAAAGCGTACGTGGCCACGCCACCGGAGTGGAAGAAGCTGGTTGAGGAGCCAGTGACACCAGAGGCAGTGGTGGCGGCGTCAGGGGTGGTGAAGTTCATCCTTCGGGGCGAGCTTACAGGGCCTCCGTGGGCAGTGAAGGGCATAGACAAGGGGGGAATCCTTGCCTCATACATGGAGGTCGGCGGTGATGGTACGCTTCTCGCCCCGGCAAGGAACAGGGAGACCTGTTTCGAAGCACGCAGTCTGCAGCCATTAATCGTCCAAGAGGGCAGGCTGCTAGGGCCGGCGGGGGATCCAAAAGTGAAGCTGCTGTCCTGCTGTGGGCTGTTTGACGAGGGAGGAATGGCGCCTCTGCGTAAGATACGGGCGACACTCACCAGAGCGGTGGGGCGTTCGTGGAGGCAGGCGGAGTGGGAAGTGGCGTGGGGCAAGAAGATTGACTGGAAAAGGGCGATCGATACACGTGATTCTATCAGCGTCCCACTCAAGGCGAGGGATGTGTTGCTCCGGATACACAGCAAGAACCTCCAGGTGGGGGGGAGGTTGGATTTTTTCCAGAACAGGATCAGCTGCGCACACTGTGGGGGGGAGGAAACCCTAGCCCACTGCCTCTACAGTTGCCCGATCATTCAGCCAGTGATTGGCGCGCTTAAGCGTTCTTTGCGCATGCTGAACCCGGTCAGACAGGTGGACTCGCTGGGTGACTTGCTTTTTGGGGAAGGGGGGACAGCGTCAGGTTTCCCGGAGATGACGATGACGGCGGCGGTGCTGCGACAGATTTGGCTGGCAAGATGCAATGCAGTTTGGAGGGATGAAGTTTTCGAGCGGAAGAAAGTGGGTCGCGGTGCGGTGCTGGATTTTATGACACATGCGAGGGTGGTGCTGGCAGCACGCGGGAGAGGCAAGGCCACGGGTGAGGTGGCTTGCGGTATGAGAACAGATAGATGGCGACATGTGGCAAAGGATGAGAGGGAACAACTGCAGGGAATCTGCAACGTGAATGGTCCTGCATGCTGGTCGGGTCAATTTCTGTCCATCTGGCGCAACCCGCGCACGTGCCACCAGCCACCATAGACCTCCATGGGGGGATATGCGACATCCTTTTGAGGTGTAGCATAGGCCCTCCAGGTATCCAGTTACGACTGTGGATGCATCTATGTTTGATAATATAGTTACAACCAAAAAAAAAAAAAAAAAAAAAAAAAAAAAACTTTCATCAACATGATGGGTGCTCATGGAAATTTCATCTCATGCAAGACCTGGTGCCCCCATTGCCCAACCAACCACATATCACCTGCAAATGAGCTGTCCAACAAAATTTAACAATATTAGTTGGCTACATATGAACAAATCTATCAGATGTTCTGCCTGCCAACCACTCTTCTATTTGGGACCCTACCGACATGCCCCGAATCCACGGATTCATCCAAGTGTTTTGAAATAATACTGTATGTGCCAATCCAGCTGGCACAAACGCGACTACAGTATCCCCTCCACCTATAACGCTCTCTAACGCATCATAAAGAGCAGACGCCGCAACAAACAACGCATCTCGCTCACCAGGTGTACAGTAATTTGTCTTCCACTGTATCTTGGTCCACTCCTTTCTCGCTATAATCCCTGTTACATCCTTAATCCGAATAACTTCACCTAAGCACGCCCATGCATATGTACTGTTCCACGGTAACAGCCCGCCAATCTGGGAGGCTGTAACGTCGAAAAATGCGTGGAACATAAATATGGGGGTTGTAACGTCTTGTAAAGTGTACTGTGGGAAAAAGCACTTCCATTGGTCAGTCTCTGGTAAGCCTGGGGGGAATGAAGAAGGGGTAAGGGTTGAGGAGAGCAGGAGGAGGAGATTAGGCGATGCATAGAGAGGTGTGGGGATAACAGGAGCAGCAGCGATCCAGAAAAATGGCGAGAGGGAGAGAAGGGAATGGTTGATATTTTTAGAATTCTTCAACCAGAAACTAGGGCAGGGAAGGGCACGAGGGATGACGAAGCATTTCTACGCGGCAAGGCAAGCATGCACGGCTCCTTCCCCCACCTCCTCCACTGCTAAATTTTGAGTCGACTCAAAAGTCGGCAAGAGTACATGATTCTTCCCCCATTTCCTCCACCGCCCTCCCCCCCCCTTCCCTCCTTCTCCCCTCTTCGCACCTCACCAGCTTGGCTTGTGTATAGCAACAATGCTCTTCACAGCTTTGCGCCACGTGGTAACCATGTAACTAACCACTTAGCAACAATGCATCTCATCTCACCATCTTGGCAAGCCGGCCAGCTGGGCTTGTGCAGAGCAACAATATTCTTCACAGCGTTGCGCCACGTGTAGCCGCCCACTCTATCCTTGGAGTCTGGAAAGGTTGGGGGAGGGAGAAGAGGGGGAGGGGGGAGGGAGAAGAGGGGGAGGGCGGAAGGAGGGAAGGTAATATCAGCTTGCGCAGAGCACTATTTTTACAGCGGTGCGCCATGTGTACCCCCCTGCTCAATTCTTGGAGTCTGCAAGGGTAAGTTGGGAAATAGCACTTTGTAGAAGTGAATTCGCAAGCACTGTACCAAGAGAGAGAGAGAGAGAAAATACAAAGTGCATGTCTGTACCCCCTGCTGAATTAATAGAAAGGACCATTTGAGAGAAAAAAAAAACAAAAAACAAAAAACAACAAAAAAACAAAACAAAGAGGAAGTGAAAGCAGCAGGCTCACCAATAAAGAAGCCCGAATCAGCGATGCATTTAGTTGCCGCCCAGGGGAAGGCGGCAGCGATGCGATCGCAGAGAGCCACGACTGCTTGGCCGCCCGCTGAGCTGCCCGACAGGAGAATCTGCGCTGCAGATTTGATTCCCCGCTTGGATTTCAGATCTGATTGCGTTATGGACGGGGGCTCAAAGGGAAAAGGTGGAAACAGGAGAAACAGGGAGAGAGACAGAAAAAGGGGGTATGGGGGAGGGAGGAGGAAGGAGGTTACGAGGTGAGGGGATTTTATACTTCAATTTCCCACTCTCATCCTACCCCACACAATCCGGTCACGCTCGCACCTCATAACCACTCACTCTCATAACCATCTGATCATACAAGACAAACAAGGTTCCTTCCCTTCCCACTCACTCACCCACTATCACCGCTTGAACAATGTTCCACCCATCCAGGAAAAGCACCGTCCCTTTGCTGTCAGCCTCTAGCAGCCCTGCCGTGCCCGAGTAACCGCCACAGCGCAGTAGATGAGACGAACGAGGTTCCTTTTCTTCCCACTCACCCGCTATCACCGCTTGAGTGATGTTCCACCCATCCAGGTAAATCGCCGTGCCGTTACCAACATCCACCCTCCCTGCTGTGCCCGCATAGCCACCACCACTTCTCACTCACCTCACGCATTTCAGCAGCGCACCTTCTATCACTGCTTGAGTGATATTCCACCCATCCAGGTAAATCGCCGTGCCGTTACTGTCAACTTCCAGCCTCCCTGCTGTTCCCGCGTAGCCACCACCGTCGCAGTAGATGAGACGAACGAGATTCCAGTTGTGGAAAGGCGGGTTGATGCTGCTGTTGCTGCTGAGCATGCCGTTGAAAGAAGGATTGAGGGTCTAAGGGATGGAGGGAGGTGGGCGGGAAGGGAAGGGAAAAGGGGAGTGTTGATGCTGAGAATTTTATGGTGGAGAGATAGCAGACCAGCAAGGGCGATGGAGGGAAAGAAAAACAGTAATCCTGTGCATTTCCACAAATGCCCAGATTCTGTGATTTCCTAGTGACAGCAGACCCGCACCACATTACACAGCGTGCCCCATAAATACAAATAAAATATGTACATAATGATATAACATAATGATATAACATAATAATAATAATAATAATAATGATAATGATGATAATAATAATAATAATAATAATAATAATAATAATAATAACATGGTCACCTATTAACTAAACACGTTGAACTATTACACTATTAGAGTTGGTGAAGTCTTCAGGATAGAACGTGCCTTGGGAGGGGCTTTAAAACTCACGTCTCATATTTGCATGCGTTTAACACTTGGTTGGGAATGCACGTCCGTGATTGGTTCCGCCAAAAACGCACCCCAGCTCGTCACATATTTTGTCATTCGTCAACCAGTCACGGAACCCAACCAAGTGTTAAACCCAACCAAGTGTGAAACGGAGAAAAATATGAGACGCGAGCTTTAAGGCGGAAAAGGCTTCTTTGGGATAACATCCACGTTGGTGGGATCCTGAGGAGAGAACGTGCTGCTGCCGAGTGGCGCCTTGGGAGAGGGGCTTGAAGGGGCTTGGGGAGACAGAAACGTACCACGTTGGAGGGGTCGTGAGGGTAGAAGGTGCTGCTGCGGTACGCCGTCAGGGTTGGGGGAGGTGGGTGTAGAGAAGGGGCTTTAAGGGGGAGAGAGCAGCGTACCCCGTTGGTGGGGTCAGCAGGACATAACGAGCTGCTGCGGTAACACGTTGGCGGCTTGCTCCGTTTCAGAGGGGTACGTAGGGGTAGAGAAGGGGGGCTGTCAGGAGAACAGCGGGCTTTAAGGGGGCGAGAGCAGCGTACCGCGTTGGTGGGGTCTGCAGGAGAGAACGTGCTGCTGCCGAGAGGCGCCTTGGGAAGGAGAGGGGGGCTTTAAGGGGCTTGGGGAGAGAGCAGCATACCACGTTGGTGGGGTCTTGAGGATAGAAGGTGCTGCTGCCGAGTGCCGCCTTGCTCCTCGCCACGCACTGGGCGGCAGAGCCACACCACGCGCCGCCCGGCAAATAAATGTGCCACAGGTTCTTGCCGCCCCCCCGGCCCGCCCGGAAATAGTACCCTGGGGGGCTGGAGTGAGGGGAGGGGAGAGCGACAGTGGGAGGTAAGGGGTTGGGAGGAGGTGGGGGGGAAATTGCCCCGCACTACATGCTCTTGCAGCCCCTTGTGCCCGCCCGGAAATAGTACCCTGGGGGGCTGGGGGGGAACGGGGGGTGTGGATGAGGGGGGGCGGAGAAAAGGGGAAGTGGGGAAGGGGGGATTTGAACACACAGCAACCTCCTTTCTCAGACGAAGCAAACCCCCACTCCCCGCCCCTCTGCTCCCCGCCCCTCTGCTCCCCGCCCCTCTGCTCCCCACCCCTCTGCTCCCCACCCCTCTGCTCCCCACCCCTCTGCTCCCCACCCCTCTGCTCCCCACCCCTCTGCTCCCCACCCCTCTGCTCCCCACCCCTCTGCTCCCCACCCCTCTGCTCCCCACCCCTCTGCTCCCCACCCCCCTCTCTCCCCACCCCCCTCTGCTCCCCACCCCCCTCTCTCCCCACCACCCTCCCTCCACACCCCCATTCCTCCCCCCCCCCATTCCTCCCCCCCCCCATTCCTCCGCACCCCCATTCCTCCGCACCCCCCTTCCTCCGCACCCCCATTCCTCCGCACCCCCCTTCCTTCGCACCCCCCTCCCTCCGCACCCCCCTTCCTCCGCACCCCCCTCCCTCCGCACCCCCCTTCCTCCGCACCCCCCTCCCTCCGCACCCCCCTTCCTTCGCACCCCCCTCCCTCCGCGCCCCCGGCAGTTACTTCTCGCTAGCACAACGACCCGCGGCTGATCCATCCACTCTGCTCCCCACAACCACGCTCCCCACCGCTCCCCACCGCTTTCCACCGCTCTCTCTCCGCACCCCCAATCATCCGCACCCCCGACAGTTACTTCTCACTTACGGAACGAACCGCGCCTGCTCCAGCGTTCCGCCAACAAAATCCCGCGCTCCTCCGTGTCCCGCCCCCTTTGCCAGCATTTTCGCGCCGTACGAACAATTCGCCAGCGGAACGTTTTGCTTCGCTTCGTTTTGTTTCCTCCCCCTCCTCTCCCCCTCTTCATCCCCCTCCTTTCACCCCACCTCCGCTCCCTCCTTTCCCCCTTCCCTCCCCCTTCTTTTCCCCCACCGTGCCTCCCATCGAGGCATTTCGCGTCGAACGAGTTATTCGCCAGCAGAACGAGCCGCGGCGTGGCCGGCGGCAACGGCGGCGGAGGGGATTTTCCCGAGAGTAGCGACAGCAGGTACTGCAAAAACGCCCAGACGCCGCTAAAATCGATTTTCCAGGCGGCTTTATTTCGATGAGTACTTATCCGTCCGTTGGACGGTTTAGGAGGCGACCTACCGTCACGCATGTAAAATCCCCGGTTGTTACCGGTGAAAGCATGTCCGTTAGAAGCAGTACCGTTATTCTCTGTAGCGCGTGCTCGAAACTTGTTCATCCTATTTGTGGTCTTTGGTCATCAGAGCACAAACTGCCTGTAATCGCTGTAGGCGCGCCGCGAAGCGGATGCCGTCGGGCATCATTAGTACGAGTTCAGAGTCTACGACTTCAGCGTAATCTCTTATTGCGTAGCTTCTATAAGCATGGTCGCAGCATGTACAAGACTATTGCACGCAAGTTGTCCTCTGGTAGTTACGTTGGATTCAAACGTGACAATTCGCCGGGTCGCGCTGATACTCGTATGGTGGTCAGGGCGCATTCGGGGCTCCAGGATCTACCACACCAAACTGGAGGCTCGGATGACACATTTCGGATAGGTCACTTGGGCCCAAAAAATAAAATTGGAACGCCAGAAGTAGCCACGGAGCGAGGACCCTCGGAGCGCTGGGCAGTAGGTCGGAACGGAGGCCCGCATGCGCCCTCAGAAGCCTTACGGTCCAAACCAGCGTGGGTTCGGAGGTTCGGTTGGTTTCACCGACATTTCTTGAAGTTCCTCCATTGTGGGTTTTCGTGTCAAATCGCTACCACAACCGGGTTACATATTTTTTGCAAAATGAGGTTCGGATGTGCGAAGTCTGAACGCAAGGCGAGGTAGCTAGGCAGCCGTGGAAATCTGGCTGGTCTTGTATTTCCGAACCAAGAGCTTGGCTTTGTGTGCGATTCAGTACAGACCAAGGTAGAAACTCTACTTCCTTATAATCAGCAAACTTGTAGGGGAAATTCCCGGGGACGTGCGATACACCATTCGGGGCGGGACGTAAGGGGGGTTGCGCGCTACCGGAGGAGTGGAACAAGGTGGGGGAGTGGGAGCGAGGAACAGGGGAGCGGAAGGTACCGGGGAACCTCTATGAGGGAAGCGAATGGAGAAACATACAGACTCATCAGAGGTGATGTCACGTAAGTTGAAGTAACGGTGCGAGGAAGGGCTTTAGAACAACCAGTCAGGGGCGTTGAGGGGGAAACCGAGGAAGACAAAGGAGAGAGTGTGAGCCAAGAGCTTGTCCGCGCGAGGATCGCGGACGTGAGCAAAGGCAGCCCCAGACGCGAAATGCGGGCGCAGAACCAGGGGACCTAGTCCGGAGACTGGTTTAGGGAGACCTGCGGGCGTGAGACATGTGGCCACATGTTAAGCTGGTGCACGTCGTGGCGGACTGCAAAGGGCCACAGAACATGGGGGGCACTGGTATGACACATGGAGGTACGAGCGATCTCCATGACCAAACCAATGCGACGCTCAGCGACCCAATGCTGTTACGGCGAGTCCGGTAGCGAGTACGACTGCCAAATGCCCTATGTGCGACAAAATTGATCAATCTGACTGGAGGCGAACTCGCCACCACAGTCAGACTGCAGATGAAGCACAGGACGAGAGCGCTGTGTGCAGTTGGCAAAGAGCGACGGGTGGAGAGTGCCAAGCACATCGGCCTTCCGCTGCAATGGAAACACAGTGGTATAGCGGGAAAATTAGTCCACAACTGCTAGAAAGTAGTGCTCCCCCCACGGCCCAGCGACCAGGGCAGGGCCCCAAAGGTCCATGTGCAGGGTCTGAAGAGACGCCATGGTACGAGGGAAAAAAGAGTGAGGGGTGGCACGCTGCCGGAGATAAGACCGTGCGTAGCTATGTGACGAAGATGCAGGAGGGCGGGGTGGCCTAGATGGTGGTGCCACATGAGCGTCGGGTGATTGAGCGACCGACACTCGCAAGACGCAGCTACGTGACCAGATGTAGGAACGTGGGGGGATGCAGTGCGTAACGTGAACATACCTGACGCTGGCTCCCGTGGGGACGTGGCAAGAGGTGCCCAAGTGGTAGTGTCCGTACATGTCACAAAACGCTCGTGTCCAAGAAACGTGGTGGTAACACCATGGTTCTAAAGGACAACCGACACCCACCAAGTTCCTGGAGAACGAGGGGATGTGCAGACCTATGAGGGAGCCTGAGAGGACTGCTGGACATGGGAGAGTAGTAGTGCTGCGAGCGACGACTGGTCCAGAGGAGGGGTCGGCCAAAGCGAGTGGAACTGGTGGGGGAAGTGGCGAGAGGCCGGTGTGGTCACGGAAGAAGCACCAAGGCAAGCGTGAAGGAGAGTGATGCATCAGCGGTGGCCACACTTGTGTAAGCAACATCAGAGAATCCTACACTAGTGACAGCTAGGGATTCTCATATAGGCACACACGAATAATGAGATTCAACAACACTATAGTCAGCAGCATACATGGTAGTCACAGAACACAACCGCAGACATGTCCATAACAAACCCAGGCAGGTCACAGCGGAGCAGTGCAGCCCAGTCCGGGACCTGCACCGCAAGTCTGAAGTGGCAGTGGTAGAGGTCGGAATGGAGGTTGAAGCACTGCTCAGCGGAGTGATCAGGACGCCCGCAGACACGGCCGCTGCGTGAACCTGTCTGAATCACGTACAAAGAGGGCCCACAACCGCAGCCAGTGCTCCCGTGGCCGGCAGAACCCCACTGCTGCGGGAACCATGGTTGAAACTGCTGCGGGTCCTACTATTGAAACAACAGCTGCTAATGCTGCGGCACCATGATACTCCTAGGACCAGCACCCCCTCCAACCGCACCACCAGACCCAGTACCTCCTCCAGCGTCAGCACCCCCAGATGTCCCAGCACATCCGCCAACTCCACCGCCTCCAACCCCTTCACCCTTCCTACCCCCCTTGCGACCTCGCTGCCGACCAGAGGCAGCAACTGCTGCAACTTTCGTCGAGGTAGCAGGCTCATCAACAAAAGCTGAGGCAGCATGGGTAGCAAGCAGGGATGGGACACACCCCTCAAAGATGGGGGGAGGCACAGTACCAGAGGAGGAGGCTATAGGGCTGATACTGGACTCAATCTCAGTGAGACGCCTGGTCGATAGTGAGGTTCATGGGGTGCACAGTGTTGAAGGCGTCGCGTGCAGTCACAAAGCGGCCAAGGAGGCATGTCGCGATGAAAGACAGGGTGATTTGCATGGAAGGGCGAACCTCAGCAAGAAGCTTAGGAGTGCAAGCAGCGCAGAAGCTAGTCTCTAGCCAGCGCAGGTGTGTAACCAAGGGTGGTCAGGAAAGAAAAAGGGCGGGAGATGGCGGCCTAAAGTTGTCAGAATGTGATGTTTGTCTAGCCTGCAGTGGGGTACTCTATAGCGAGTACAACCCAATTAGGGTTTCCTATATGTATCTCAACTGCTGCTAGTGAAAACCACCTCTTTTCTGTTTATCGTTTTAACCTGCTATTTCAACATGCTATCAGAGCAGGTCGACCCTCCTGGGTCGATCATGTGGATGGGCCCGCCACCTAATGCTTCCGCTGCTGTCCTGCCTATCGCGCGCCCCGGGCGCGCGACGTGTTCTGCTTGCCGCGCGCTCGGGTGCACGGCGTATTTTTCATCCCGCCGCGCGCTCGGGGCGCGCGGCGGTTTTCTGCCCGCCGTGCGCACCGAGGCGCGCGGCGGTTTTCTGCCCCGTCGATCCGCGCGTCGCCCCCCGTCGCCCGTCGCAGCGCCCCCGGGGACCCGCGCGTCGCCCCCGTCGCCCGTAGCGGCCCGCGCGACCTGCGCTAGGCCCGCGCGCGACCCGTACGGGCTGCGCCAGGCCCGCGCGCGGCCCATACAGCCCGCGCGCGGCCCGTACGGGCTGCGCCAGGCCCGCGCGCGGCCCGTACGGGCTGCGCCAGGCCCGCGCGCGGCCCGGGCAGCCCGCGCGCGGTTCGTCCCGAGCTTCTGACCGCGCCCCACCCCTGCTGCTGCCCGCGCTCCTGTATTAGGGTTTGGGGGTGGAGATTATGGGGTGTAGGGAGTGTGTGAAAGGGGTGTGGGACAGTTGGGGGAGGTTGACAGGAGGTAGCCGTTGTGACGTCAGCAGCGCCAGTAGTCCGGGGGTTGAGTACTCCGGTAGCCCAGCGAGCCTGTTGCTGCCAGTCGCCCGTGGGTCTGTTGCTCCTGCTGCTGCTTAGCGCGGAGCCAGTTACTCCTGTAGTCCGGAGGTTGAGTGCTCCGGTAGCCACCGTGCGCGCCGTTCCTGTTGCCCGTGTGTCTGCGGCTTCACCAGACGCCTCCTATCTCCACTCCTCTCACAGTTCCTCCTCCTCCTCACTTGCCCTCTGTGACTGCCTCTAGCTTTGCTTGTATTTGTGAACCTACTGCTCTGCGTGCTTGCTGTGCTGATTATACCCCACTTTGACTATGGGGGTGTGTCAGAATGTGATGTTTGTCTAGCCTGCAGTGGGGTACTCTATAGCGAGTACAACCCAATTAGGGTTTCCTATATGTATCTCAACTGCTGCTAGTGAAAACCACCTCTTTTCTGTTTATCGTTTTAGCCTGCTATTTCAACAAAAGTAGCAGTAGAAGGAGTGGAATAGTGAGCGATAAAATCATCCAACAACTCCTTCGCCGTATTCACCTGAGTGAAGTGCTCCCCCTTAGTCCGCGGCATGGGACGAACGATAGTGAGTCGCGCAGCAACGTCGCGCGCCCTCCACTGCGTAAGTTCCAGGCGAGCCGCGCGGTATTCCTTCAGCTGGTCAAAAGTGGCGGTAGCAGGAGGAGCATCAGGACACAGCAGGGCTGAGTGTTCACTGGTAGCATGCTCGTACAGCGAGACATCCTGCTGAATCTGACTTTGCAGGGAGAGGTGGACCTCAGTCAGCCACCACGGAATATCCACCGCATGACCCTCCGCATCGAAATGCGGGAGTGATCGGTCACTATAGCAGGAGGAAATGAGGGGAAGCGGCCTCAGTAGGAGGAAAAATATGATAAAATCCAGGCTAGGATAGGCACGGTGGCGTGAGTGGCGCAGGTGCAACGGGCGGCTCGGCGGCTCGGGCGGCTCGGGCGGCGCGGGCGGCTCAGGCAGTCAGACGTCTCTGGCGGCAGTGGCGACGGTCCGCGCGACAACGACGGCGGCAGCCGCGGGCTGCACCAGCGGCGGCAGCAGCGGTCGGCAGCAGCGCGTGCAAGCGCGGCAGCGGGGGCAGTGGAGGCAGCGGCAGCGGCGGCATGACCATTTGTGAGTGAAGACTGTTTGAAGATAGATTTCCCCTGCTGCCCAACCCCATGCTACCACCTGCAGGAATGCAATGACCCAGAGCTTTACACTATCCTTTAAATTGGCTACATATGAAGAAATCTATCAGATGTTCTACCTGCCAACCACTCTTCTATATAAAACCCTACCGACATACCCCGAATTGACGGATTCATCCAATTGTTTGAAAATAATACTGTATGTGCCGCTCCACCTGACACAAAGGCAACTACAGTATCTCCTCCTCCTATAACGCTCTCCAACTCATCATAAAGAGCAGACGCCGCAACAAACAGCGCGTCCCTCTCGCCGGGTGTACAGTAATTCGTCTTCCACTGTATCTTGGTCCACTCCTTTCTCTGTATAATCCCTGTTACATCCTTAATCCGAATAACTTCACCTAAGCACGCCCATGCATAAGTACTGTTCCACGGTAACAGCCCGCCGATCTGGCAGGCTGTAACGTCAAAAAACGTGTGGAAAAGAAATATGGGGGTTGTAACGTGTTGGAGAGTGTACTGTGGAAAGAAGCACTTCCATTGGTCGGCCTCTGGTAAGCCTGGCGGGGATGAAGAAGAGGGGAGGGTTGAGAGAGAGGGAGGACGGGATTGGGCAATGCATAGAGAGGCCTCTGGATAGTAAGGGACAGCAGCAGCCTCTGGATAGTAAGGGACAGCAGCAGCCTCTGGACAGTAAGGGACAGTAAGGGACAGCAGCAGCCTCTGGACAGTAAGGGACAGTAAGGGACAGCAGCAGCCTCTGGACAGTAAGGGACAGTAAGGGACAGCAGCAGCCTCTGGACAGTAAGGGACAGTAAGGGACAGCAGCAGCCTCTGGACAGTAAGGGACAGTAAGGGACAGCAGCAGCCTCTGGACAGTAAGGGACAGTAAGGGACAGCAGCAGCCTCTGGACAGTAAGGGACAGTAAGGGACAGCAGCAGCCTCTGGACAGTAAGGGACAGTAAGGGACAGCAGCAGCCTCTGGACAGTAAGGGACAGTAAGGGACAGCAGCAGCCTCTGGACAGTAAGGGACAGTAAGGGACAGCAGCAGCCTCTGGACAGTAAGGGACAGTAAGGGACAGCAGCAGCCTCTGGACAGTAAGGGACAGTAAGGGACAGCAGCAGCCTCTGGACAGTAAGGGACAGTAAGGGACAGCAGCAGCCTCTGGACAGTAAGGGACAGCAGCAGCCTCTGGACAGTAAGGGACAGTAAGGGACAGCAGCAGCCTCTGGACAGTAAGGGACAGTAAGGGACAGCAGCAATCCCAAGAAATGGCGTGGGGGTTCTTATGTTTTTTTTTCTTTCTTCCCCTCTCTAAACAGAAAGAAACAAGGGAGGGGGGTGATGGAAGGAAAAGGAAGGGAAGGGAAGGGAAGGGAAGGTTATGCGTATAATTCTCAAATTGCTATTTCTCAAAATTGCTATTTCTCAAATTGCTATTTCTCAAATTGCTATTTCTCTCACCATCCATACAAGCTGATTAACGATGCTCTTCTTTTGACTCCTCCTTCCTCCCCCCCCCTCTCTCTCCCCGCTGCTCCCTCCTTCGCATCTCACCATCCTGGCAAGCATGCCAGCTGGGCTTGTGCAGAGCAACAATGCCCTTCTTTGCCTCCTTTTCACCCTCCCATCCTCCCAACCCCTTCTATCACTCCCTCCAAGTTCCAACCACACTCCCCCCCCCCTTATTCCCTCCCTTCTCTCACCATCCTGGCAAGCCGGCCAGCTGGGCTTGTGCAGAGCAAGAATGCTCTTCACAGCGTTGCGCCACGTGGTAACCATGTAACCGCTATCCACGCGTCTCTAACAGCAATCATGTCATCTCACCATCCTGGCAAGCCGGCCAGCTGGGCTTGTGCAGAGCTACAATGCTCTTCACAGCGGTGCGCCACGTGTACCCACCCACTCTATCCTTGGAGTCTGGAAAGGTTGGGAGAGGGAGAAGAGGGGGAGGGCGGAAGGAGGGAAGGTAATATCAGCTTGCGCAGAGCACTATTTTTACAGCGGTGCGCCATGTGTACCCCCCTGCTCAATTCTTGGAGTCTGCAAGGGTAAGTTGGCAGCAGGCACTGTACCAAGAGAGAGAGAGAGAGAGAGAGAGAGAGAGAAAAAAAAACAAAAACAAAGAGGAAGTGAAAGCAGCAGGCTCACCAATAAAGAAGCCCGAGTCGGAGATGCATTTGGTTGCCGCCCAGGGGAAGGCGGCAGCGATGCGATCGCAGAGAGCCACGACTGCTTGGCCGCCCGCTGAGCTGCCCGACAGGAGAATCTGCGCTGCAGATTTGATTCCCCGCTTGGATTTCAGATCTGATTGCGTTTTGGACGGGGGGTCAAAGGGAAATGGTGGAAACAGGAGAAACAGGGAGAGAGACAAAAAGGGGGTATGGGGGAGGGAGGAGGAAGGAGGTTACGAAGTGAGGAGATTTTATACTTCCTATTCCCACTCTCATCCTTCCCCCCACACACACTCCTGTCACTCTCACACCTCACACTCACTCTCAAAACCATCTGATCATGCAAGGCAAACAAGGTTCCTTCCCCACTCACTCACTCTCTATGCTTGAACGATGTTCCACCCATCCAGGTAAATCGCCGTGCCATTGCTCCCAACCTCCACCCGCCCTGCTGTTCCCAAGTAGGGCCCCCCACAGCAGTAGATGATACAAACGAACCTCCATACCCCACCAACTCACCCTCTATCACAGCTTGAACAATCTTCCACCCATCCAGGTAAAGCACCGTGCCGTTACCAACATCCACCCTTCCCGCTGTGCCCGCATAGCCCCCGCCGTCACAATAGAGGAGGCGGACGAGGTTCCAGTTGTAGAAGGGCGGGTTGATGCTGCTGTTGCTGCTGAGCATGCCGTTGAAAGGGGGACGGAGGGCCTGGTGGGTGTAGGGAGGTTGGAGAGCGCGAGGGGAAGAGAGGGAAAAGGGCGAATTGATGCTGTTGATGCTGCTGTTGCTGCTGAGCATGCCGTTGAAAGGGGGACGGAGGGCCTGAACGGGGGAGGGGGGAGGGGGGAGGGGGGGAGGGGGGAGGGGGGAGGGGAGGAGGGAGGGGAGGAGGGGAGGAGGGAGGGGAGGGGGGAGGGAAGGGGGGGAGGGGGAGAGGGGGAGAAGAAGAAAAGGCTCAAACGAGGTATCACAGAGTCCTGCTCCGAATAACACTGCAGGCCCCACAAATACCGGGGGGAGAAAACACACACACACGCACGCACACACGCACGCACGCACACACGCACGCACGCACGCATGCACGCACGCACGCACGCACGCACGGGCACGCACACACGCACGCACGCACACACGCACGCACGCACGCACGAAGGAAGGGCTTTAAGGGGGAGGGGAGTGCAGGGCAGCAGCATGGCGCGCTGGGTTCAGGGTCGGCAGGAAGGAAGGGCTTTAAGGGAGAGAGAGAGCAGAGAAGCATACATCGTTGGGTTCAGGGTCTTGAGAATATTACGTGCTGGTCCCCAATGGCGTCTTGAGTGAGGTGAGGGGGGCTTTACGGGTAGACCGAAAGTGGGGGGGCTTTAAAGGGGAGGGAGAGGCATACAGCGTTGGGTTCAGGGTCTTGAGGATACAGCGTGCTGCTCCCCAATGGCGTCTTGAGTGAGGTGAGGGGGGCTTTACGGGTAGTCCAAATCACGGGAGAGAGGGGAAGAGGGGGGGGAAGGGCGGGGGGGGGGGGGGGGGAGGCGGGGGAAGGGCGGGGGGGGGAGGGGGGGAAGTTCAAGGGGGGAGAGAGAGCAGCATACCGCGCTGGGTTCAGGGTCGGTGGGATACAGCGTGCTGGTCCCAAGTGGCGCCTTGGGTGAGGTGAGGGGGCTTTAAGGGTAGTCCAAATCACGGGAGAGAGGGGAAGAGGGGGGGGTGGAGCCGGGGGGGGGGAGGAGGGGGAGTGGGGGAGGGGGGGAGGGGGGGGAGGGGGGGGAGTTCAAGGAGGGGAGGGCGGCAAGGGAAGGTGTTTTGAAAGGGAGAGAGAGAGCAGCATACCGCGCTGGGTTCAGGGTCGGCAGGTTAGAGCGTGCTGCTCCCAAGTGGCGCCTCGAAAAAGAGGGGGACGGGGCGGGGGAGGGGGGCGGGGAGGGCTTCAAGGGGGAGGACAGCATACCGCGCCGGGTTCAGGGTCGGCAGGATACAGCGTGCTGGTCCCGAAAAGCGTCTTGCTCCTGGCCACGCACTGGGCGGCAGAGCCACACCACGCGCCGCCCGGCAGGTAGATGTGCCACATGTTCTTGCCGCCCCCCGTGCCCGCCCGGAAATAGTACCCTGGGGGGCTGGGAAGCAGGGAACGGGAGGTGTGGGGGGGGGGAAAGAGGGGAGGGGGGAGAGGGCAATGGGGAGGGGGTAAAGGACAGTGGGGAGGGGGAGGAGGGCAGTGGGGAGGGCGGAGAGGGCAGTGGGGAGGGCGGAGAGGCAGTGGGGAGGGGGGAGAGGCAGTGGGGAGGGAGGAGAGGGCAGTGGAAAGGGGGAGAAGGCAGCGGGGAGGGGGAGACGGGGACCGGGGGAGGGGAGAGGTGGGGGATATAAGACGATCATTGCCTTAGTGACATGCTCCTGCCACTCTGACATGCTCCTGCCACTGTGACATGCTCCTGCCACTGTGACATGCTCCTGCCACTCTGACATGCTCCTGCCACTCTGACATGCTCCTGCCACTGTGCTACTGACACGAGTATTAGTGTGTATGTTCTGAAGAATCCTTCAAGCTGGCTCTTTCAAGAATTGCTTAAGCTCTCCACTAACCAAGCCCCTAACGCTTTAAACCCGAGGTCCACAGGTTTCAAAGGTAGGAAGGTTGGCTGGATCTGGTGACTCAACCAAAAGTAGGAAGGATGAGGCAATTGAGGGGAACTTGAGACTCCGGTTTTAGCTCTCCACTAACCAAGCCCCTAACGCTTAAGCTGCCTCGGAAGAATCGTTCAAGCTGCCTCGGAAGAAACGCTAGTAAGCTCCCAACCAACCAAGCCCCTTCCACTCACCCGAACCAAGGGGGGTTCGTCTCGCTACCTCAACACACACGTGCCTTCTGAGTCGGCCTCCGCGCGTGGAAGTAAGGACTCCGCAGCCCACCTGTCCTCTGCTGACAAGTCCCCCCATCAACGCACACGCAGCCCACACGCAGCCCACACGCAGCCCACACGCAGCCCACACGCAGCCCACATGTCCTCCGCGGACAAGTCCCCCCATCAACCTCACGGGGAATAACACAAACGCCCTTCCTCCCGTCCAGGCATTCTCGCATCAATTCGCTATTTCCAGGCCCTTTCCCCGTCCCCCTCCCCCCCCCCCCCCCCTTCTCCCCTCCCCGCCGCTCGTCCCCCCATTCCCGCCTTACTTTTCGCCTTTCGCGTCCTTTCGCGTCCTTTCGCCTGACACCGAATTGATTTTATTTTTCCGCCCCTTTTGCTCCCATTCCCCCTCAACCCCTCAGCCCACTTCACCCTTCCGTTCCCCCCCCTCCCCCCCCCCCCCCCCCCCCCCCCTCCTCCCCCCTTCTCCCCCCTCTCTGTCTCCTTCCTTCTTTTCCCCCTCCTTACCTTCCGTCGAGGCATTTCGCGTCGAAGGAGTTATTCGCCAGCAGAACGAGCCGCGGCGTGGGCGGCGGCCCCGGCGGGGGCGGAGGCGGATTTCCCGCGAGTAGCGACAGCAGGTATTGCAGGAACACCGAGACGCCGCTAAAATCGATTTTCCAGGCGGCTCTATTTCGAGAAGTACTTATCGTTCCATTGGATGGTTTAACTGGCGACTTAGGATGGTGCATGCTAAATCCACTGCTGTTCCCGGTAAAAGCATATTTTTTAAAAGCAGTACCGCTATTCGTTGTAGTGCGTGCTCGTAACTTGTTAACCGTATTCATGATCTCTGGTCAGCAAAGCGCGTGCTGCCTATGATCGCTGTAGGCGCGACGCGAAGCGGATGCCGTTAAGAGTCATTAGTACGAATTTCAGAGTCTACGTCGCTACCACGAAGAAAGATGGCTTATTACGTAGCTTCTAGAAGCACGTCCTTACTACGTTGCTTTTAGAAGCATTGTCGCAGCAGGTACAGTACAAGGCTAGCGCACGCGACGTGAGCCGTCTCTTGGTTTAGTTACGTTGGAATGGAACGTGACGATTCGGCGGCTCGCACACGTACTGTACTTGTCGAGAGAGGGCGCATTCGGGGGTCAAGGGAACTACCAAACTAAAGGGTCGGAGGGCCAGATCAGAAAGGCACTTGGGGGCGAAAAAATATCCGAAACACCTGAAGTAGCCTCAGAGTGGACCCCTCGGAACGCTTGACTGGAGGTCGGCCCGGAGGCCCGAATGACCCCTCAGAATCCCTGGGTCCGAACCAATGTAGCTTCCGAGGTTCGGTGGGTTCCACCGACACTCCCTCGAAGTTCCCGGTTCTGGTTTGGACACCTCCACCCAGCTCTTCTGGACCCATTTGTTCTTTCGTGTCGATTCGCTACCAAAACCGGGTTACCTACTTCGGGCGATACGAGGTTCGGGTGCGCAAAGTCTGAACGCGAGGCGAGGTAGGCTCGACGTCGTGGAAGAAATCTTGTCTGGACCTGTATTCCGAACCAGCTGTTCGGTTTGGACGCGATTCAGTACAGTCCTAGGACGGAGCTGTTCCCCTTATAATCAGCGCACATAGGTAAAGGGGTGGTGAGGTGACGGGCCAACGGGCTCAAGCTGGACGATGAGTGTCTGAAATGAAGGTGCGTAAGGAAAATGGTCCCTTTCATGTTTCAAGTACACGTATGTGCAATCGGGAATACTTAGGGGGTGTCCAGCTCGTTCATTTACTATTCGTAAATCCCTTCAGTTACCACATTTCGCGTTGTAACACTGAGTTTTACTAAAATTCCAGACACGATCAGCTCCCGTTCACGATACGGCACACCCCCTGCACGTACCTCGAATCGTGTGACGCACGTTACAGGAATCAGCGTATGCATCGAACAATGGTACAGAACCGCGTCCTGCCCACTACAGTGAGTGCCCATCGTATCGCGCGCACGATTTCGCCAGTGCCGCCTGACACTCGCCAAAACTAGTAGTGGAAGTTTTGGCTTGGCGAAAATTCCAACGCTCTGATTGACGAGGGAACCGGTTACCTCGGATTCCACGCGGCCCCTGCATTGTTGAAGTCTGTGTGGGGGGAATGTGTCCGCGCGCTAGAATTGACAAATGGGTGGACTCGAAACAAGGCGCATTCGTTTATAGGTACAGTTATCTATTTTGAACCCCGGATCGTGAGGAGGTACTAAATTTCCCGAAATGAACGAGCTGGACACGCCCTTAAAGTGGGGTTTTGCTAGCGAAAGGTCCGGTTGTACGAAAGCGTCTGGGTGGTGGGGGGTTGTCAAGGGAAGTGTGCTCACGACAAGCCCCAATTGGCGAGTGGGCGAGTTCGACGAAGGAAGCCACCGCTGTCAGAAACGTTGGCCCTAGCAATGCCACAGGGTTTCGCTGAGATGCTGTTCGCCATAGCTGTGCGAGAACGTAACGGTTTCGCCTAGTCTCGCGTGGCATACGGGGGGTCAAGTGGTTACTGCGCTGGCGATTGTGGTCACCCTTCATCGTGTCGCGGCGCAAGTGGGTCACATCGCATCGCAATGTGGATTGGGTTTTCGAATTGCAAGCACCACCACCACCAGACCAGAGGCACATGAGGGAGTATTCGATTTTTTCCCCCACCAACCCACAACCTCCGATCAACAAAAACGCACTCGCATTCACAAATCACAACACAACAATCGAAGCATACATTAACAACTTTCCGCTGTATCAGCCATACGATTCCAACGCATACTACTGAATTTCCCAGTCTCATTTGTTTCTGCCTGACATCAAGCATGGCATTCCCCAAGGTTTCCCTCCTCGTTCTCCTCGTAACCGCCGCTAGCGTCCTCAGCGCCTCAGGACAGACTGAGCCGTATCTCGTCACCAAGGCCCGTCTGACCCGCGCCGCCGCCGTCAGCGCCACCAACGACTTCGAGAAAGCCAACGCGCTCGTCGCGCAGCGCTCCCAGGAGCTCAGCGCAGCGGACAAAGCCCTCGCAGACGCCGCTGCGGCATACAACGACGCGCTGCCGCTCGTGAACCGCCTCAAAACAACCCTCGCGCAGAAACTCGCGGCAAAGGAAAAAACCGCGTCCGTCATTCCCGCTCTGCAGGATAATCTCGACGCGGCAAATGCGGGCCTCGCTACGGCCACCACCGCGTCAGGAACGGATCAGGAAGAGCTCAAATCCGCGATTGCAAATGCGAAGAAACATGTGGATTTGACGTCTCAGCAGGTTGACGGGCAGAAGGAAGCTCTTCTCGGCTTGGAGCCGCTCATCGCGAAGGCGGCTAACGACGCCGCTAATCCTGGCCTGACGGCCGCGGATACCGGCGCCGCTCGGGCCGCGCTCAACGATAAGACGGCGATGCAGACGCTCGCGAAGCAGATTCTGGACGACATCTCAACAAAGAATGAGGGCCCCCAAAAACACCGAAAGGGCCACCATGCGCAGGTATTCACAAAAAAAAACAATGCGAAAGGCTGGATGAATGGTTGGGAGGGATTGGAAACACTATGAGATGCTGTGAGAAGTGACTTGTTTGCCCACCATTTCGCAGGCGCATGCTGATTGGCCGCGCTACTCTGAGACAAGCGCGTGCTGATTGGCCGCAATACTCTGAGACAAGCGTGTCCTGATTGGCCGCGCTACTTTGAGACAAGCGCGTGTTGATTGGCCGCCTGGTAGTTTGTGATATTTTGTCCTTCTTACAAATTTCTCGATATTATAATGATGAGTTCTTTATATTACAGAGATGAGGTGTACTTGTGGATAAAGAAAAGGGTATGACACGTCAGTATGAGCCCATCCTCCATGACGCGATGTTTTTTTTACAGCGCATACTGAGCACGTGTTTTGCAATCCCACGATTAGCAATTATGAGCAGTAGTAACCACATCGTCACTCAACTCGTCGATTCGCGAGCCGGTGTTTTAGTCCCATCCGTGCTATGTTGGCACAGCTGGCAAGCTTATCGGCTGGTGAAACGAAATGAGGGGCCTTGAAGTGGCCCAGTTTCAAGCACCAGAACAGCACCTGTGGTAGCGTCTGTACAGACTGCAGTCCGCCCACCCCCCACGAAGGTAACCGTGATCCCCCTGTCCTGGAGGTATCCAACACCCACCAAGTTCCGAGTGAACGAGGGGATGTGGAGGCCGCGCAGGACACCAGAGGGGACCACAGGGCACGGGAGGGTGGTGGAGCTACGCGCAACGGCTG